CAAGATAACTAAAGGGAGCATTGGCACAATGGAATTAATGCAGTTCGACACCACAACTACCAGACCTTGGTGCTGTGGAATCCTGAGAGTTGTAGTTTGGTGAAGCACCAGCTCTTTGGCAGAGAAGGTTAAAGAGATTGTAAAGCTACAATCCCCGTGATTCCATAGCAATGAACCGTGGCAGTTAAAATGGTATTAAACTGTGCTAAGTCTGCTGAGACCAAAACTCATGTCTTGTGTTTTGGTCTCTGCCCTGTGTGGTTATTGTGTATTTTAAAGAGATGTTCTGATGTGTAGCTTTTATAAAACTGCATTTTAATATGTGTGTTTGTGGAGTTTTTATAGTAATTGTGTGTTTCGATTGTGCTGTGACCCGACTTGAGCCAGGGGCAAGGTGGGTAAGAAATAATAATAATAATAATAATAATAATATGTCTCTAAACTGTTTGGACAATTTAAAAACAGCACAAAAGGTCCCATTTGTACCTTTCTTAGCTTTGTTTTTATTCCCAGTGACTCATGGTGCATCTATAGAATTAATGCACCTTGGCACCACGTGAACTACCTTGGCTCAACTCATTGGATCTGTAGTTTTTCGAGGTCCTTAGCCTGCTCTTCCAAAGAGTGCTGGGTGCTACTACACTACAAATCCCAGGGTTCCATACCCTTGAGCCATGGTGGTAAAAGTGGCGTCAAACAACTTTCTACTGTGTAGCTGCATTCTATGGCAAATGATGAGTTGTTTTTTTTTTCATCTACTCACCTTGCCAACAGGAAACATAACATTTCTATCAAGTACTATCTTACTAAGATTGGAAATTATATGTCTTTTAATTTTGATTCCCTTCCTTCTTCCTCAAACTCTGTAGTGCCATCCAAGCGGGTCTCAGACGCAGAGCTGATGAAGCTGGCCAGAAAGCTGGGCAAGAGATGGAGGCAGATTGGGATTGAATTCTTGGGGATTGAACACTCGTCTCTGGAGCAGATTCAAGAGGATAATTACAACAATACAGCAATGCAAGCCTTCTACATGCTTAAAAATTGGACGAACCGTGAGAAACATAGAGCCACTTCAGCACGGCTTTACCACATCCTTGACCAGGAGGAGGTCCAGCTTGACCGCGATGTTTATGCTTTCCTATTAGAGAGTACCTGAAGCAGTGCTGAAGGGAAGGAAGACCTTGCAGAAGATGGCTTTAACCTAAAATACCACATAAGATTGCTATCACTGAATATCTAACATTCATTTTTCACTGAAAATCCAAGACCCATTGTACACACACAGGGTTGCTGTGACCATGTTTCAGAAGCATTCTTTCTTACGTTTCACCCACATCTATGGCAGGCATCCTCAGAGGTTGAGAGGTCTGTTGGAAACTAGGCAAGTGACGTTTATATATCTGGAATGTCCATGGTGGGAGAAGTAACTCTTTGTTTGTTGGAGGCAAGTATGAATGTTGCATTTGGCCACCTTCATTAGCATTAAATGGCCTTGTAGATTCCATGACTAGCTGCTTCCTGCCTGGGGGGTCCTTTGTTGGGGGGTATTGATTGGCTTTGATTGATTCTTGTCTGGAATTGCCCTACGTTTTGAATAGCCAGATTTTGCTCATTTTCATGGTGAAAATTAACCATGAAAATGAACAAAATCTGGCTACCAGTATTAAAAAATTCTAAAATTGGGACAGTAAAGAAAGAGCAACACCCAAAAAACAGTGGAATTCCATACAAGAATAAATTAGGGCCAGCTAACTCCTCCTGACAAAGGCCCCCCCCCCCCCCCGGCAGCAACCAGTCAGGCTTTTAAGCTGCAAGGCCATAAAATGCTAATCAAGGTGGCCAATTGCAACATTCCCCCTTGCCTCGAGCAGATAAGAATTCTTTCTCCCACCCTGGACATTCCACAGATACATAAATCCCACTTGCCTTGTTTGGAACAGACCTCGCAACCTGAGGATGCCTGTCATAGATAGGAGCGAAATGTCAGAAGAGAATGTTTCTGGAACATGGCCATATAGCCCGGAAAACTCACAGCAATCCAGTGATTCTTTCCATGAAAGCCTTTGACAAGACAGTACACACACACACACACACACATATGAATGTGTGTTTTTTTTACTCAATTATGCCCACCTCTAGGAATCTCTAGGCCCTCTAGCGTGATCCTCTGGTCAACATCAATAGAGATTTTCTAGAGGGAATATATTAATCGAAATTCATAAAAATAAGAACTGTACATGTGGAGGGACATCATGTAATTCGGTTGCATGATGTTTTCCAAAAGAAGGAGCAAAACACTGCATCTTCTACACTGAGAGGCTCTCCATCTTGCTTCCCAAACTTTTTTTCTCCTTGGTGCCTTTGCATGTCTGTCAACAACATCACTGAAGAACTGGCCATGTTTGCCAATGCAATGTTATTTTTTGTTCCCTCTCTCCCCCTCTGCTTTGTTCATGCTACTTCTGCTTTGTAGCCATTCCTTCCTGTCTCCTCATCTAAAACTGGCTCATAGCTGGAAAACATCTTCACATTTCAGCTCAATTTTTTATTTCACTGCCATCTCACTTTTATTAAAATCTCTGCTGACAAATAATATTGCTTTTTTATTACACACCCATCCAAAAATATTCTTGATGCCTTGGTTTTTGGCCTGTTCCTGGGGTTATTTGAGGTGCTGATTCAGTAAATTGGATTGGATAAATCATATCAGCTCTAGTTTCTTAGATACGGTTATCATGGCTTTATATGGGCAAACAGATGGCAACCGGCATGTGGCATATGTTCTGTATCTCAAAAACTAGAGCTGTTAGGATGCCATTTTTGGCATCAGCAGGTCAAATATACCCAGAAACTGGTCTAACATTTCAGATGTGTTGGCCAGTGTTATTTGATCATGTCAAGATCCCTTTTGGTGCCCTTCAGTGGTTTACCATCCCCTCCAATGACTAAAATGCCTTTCTTGATCTTAACTAGAAAGCCCTCCATGCAGGAGCGCATTTTCTCTTATGTTGCAACATCTTTTCTTCTCCAGCTCAGCAGCATAGTTGACTAAAGGTCTTTTTCTCCCTTCAATGATTGTGTCAATTTCCCTGCATGCTGAGATTTTCAAACTGAGCTCATAGGTGCAGAGGGTTCTCCTTTCCTTCAAATCATTGTCTTTGGTCCATAACTTTCTGTGTTCACATGCACTGATATACAGGGAGTTTCAAAATGATGGATTCAATGTCAAAGCGGTGTATTTCATGATGGCAACATTTTACAATTAGACAAAAAGTTACAAGCGCTTTAATGAGTTATCAAGTTACCAACCATTTGATCCTGAAACAAATCTAAAAACTAATCTCACAAATGGAGAATCTCTCATCAGCCCAGTATAGCAAGGTCATCATCTTGCTGCAAGTCTTGCTTCAAAGGACCAAGGCATTGGGTTCTCTCGCCCATCTTCTGTTCAGATATCAGCCAGCATGCCAATGACTTAAATCAAGACACAGCTTCCTAAGATCTACAAAGATACTCACAGGAACACCTCAACAAACGAGAGTCCAAAAGTGAGGAGCTAAAATCTGGAACCTCAATCAGTGGCTGAGACCGAATGAGAGACCCCCTCCGGGGCACACAGAAGACTGGGTGACTTGGAAGGCCTGAACAGACTGCGCTCTGGCACCACGAAATGCAGAGTCAGCAAAAAAGAGAGAGAGAGAGAAGGAAATGGGGCCACAAAGAGAAGTCTGCAACATGCAAATGCAGAGAAGAGCAAACCACAGAGCACTAACTATAATGCAGCCTGAGCCCTGCCACATGCACAATGGAGGACCTTCTCACAGTGACACCAGAAGCACTCCAAGTGGCCAGCTACTGGTCAAATTAAATGGCATAATGCCAAGTTTTTAAATTTTGTTTGTGGTTTTTTATACATTATAACTGTAATTATGTTGCTTTGGACACAAGAAATCAATAGCATCTTGCTAATGACTGAGGGTAAGTGTTGTTTCTGCACAGTGAGAGGCATCTAGTGATGATTGTTTGAAACTCTTATGTCCTACCCTTTCAAGTGGAGTTTCATTCATGGGCAACCTGACTTTTTGAAACCCTGTGTATCTGTGTTTCGCATTGGTTTTATTTTGTACTGTCCATGCTGAATTTTTAAAATATTTCTTAGGTATTGTGTTTTAAAATTTTAAGATTTTTATATGTTTTTATCTGTTATTGTTGTTGATATATTGCATTGTATTATACATTGTTGAATTGCAGTATCAGATTGTGTCAAATTATGCAAGCCACTCTGAGTCCCCTTCGGGGTGAGAAGAGTGATATAGAAATGTAGTAAATAAATACTGCCTACATGTAGTATATAGTATGAATCTCATATCTGCAAGGACTTTGTAATATATGAAATCTCAGATAACAGTGAACCCGCCCATGCCTTTAGTCTGCTGAGAGAAGCCTAGCTTCACTTGTGAGCAATTGATTTGCCCCATAATTCCTTTCCTAGCCAAGTCTTCCTCATTGCCTACTTTAGATAGTAGGTTCCTTCATAGTTGAGGCTGTGTTTTTTGTTTTGGCAACTAACACGTATGCTGCCATACGCAAAGTAATAAAAAAGCACAGGGCACAAGCAAATACTGGTGCTCTTTGTGCTTTTCATGTTTTCCCCAAATTGAAAATTGACCAAGGAGATTATGGAAAATAGATTTTCTAAAGCACTTACTTTTAAAAAGTGGGTTAGAGTTTCAAGAAATCAATCCAGACATAACTCTTAGCCATCTAAAACTCCCTCACAGACTCACCCTTTGATACTGATAGCATCTTACTCTTAGCCATCCTATTTCTGGCATTGTTGCTCTCTAAAGAAGAGAAGAAGCAAGAGCCACACTGGAAGATATTCCAGATACCCTGGAAAGAGTGGTGGTGTTTATTTGAAGAGTAATAAATTCTAAACCAAGAATAGAATAAGTTTAAACCAATAGAGAGCTATAGGTTTCTCTGATTATTATTTTTTCCAAAGGTCATGCAGAAAAAAAAAAACAAAATGGAGAAAGAAAATATAGAATGCTGGATTTCAAAGGGAGTCTGTCCCATCTTTGTCAGGGTCCACAGCTCTGAGCTGCAAGGAGAAGGGAATAAAATTTAGCTGCTACAGATCTTTGCCAAGCCTCTCAATCTCATCTAGAAAGAAGTCCAGGTCTTCTTTGGTGACTGCTGGATTGGTGACAATCTGGCGGAAGCAGTTGACTTTGTTGCCCTGTGGCTGATAGCCCACCATCATAGATCCTTTCTTCATCATCCTCTCCTTGATCACAGGAGCAACCTAGCCAGAGAAAGAAATCGCATGTAAAATTTTGATTGTATTTTTCGGATGTTAAAGGAGGAGAAATGGGGTTTTTTTTTCTGGATTACTTTCTCCCTGTCTTAGGCATGTAAAGAAAGTAATGGAATCTCTTCTAAACCTGTGAATAGATAACATTTCCTTTTTCTACTTCTGATGAGTGGTTGAGCTTTTCTTCCCTTGAGTTATGTGGATACATTGAGTACAGAGAACAAAACTCAGAAATGGGGCTGACTCATGCACAGTTGCATTTGCTGTCAGATACAGCTTAGTGAAAAAAGAAGAAAAGTTATATAGCAAGGTCAAAAGTCTATCTATTCCTGTTGCCAGCACATAACTAGCCAGAAGAGTCTCATCAACCAATGCTAAGTACAGTGGTTTCCTTATTTTAAGGCCCCATTTTTGTTAAATTACAGCTCCCATCATCCCTAGATGGCACGACCAAAGGTTATAATTAATAGTCTATAGCAGGGATCCTCAGACTAAGGCCCGGGGGGGGGGGGGGGGGGGGGGGGTGGATACGGTCCTCCAAGGTGATTTACCCGGCCCTCACTCAGGGTCAACCTAAGTCTGAAAACACTTGAAAGCACACAACAACAATTCTATCTCATCAGCCAAAAGCAGGCCCACACTTCCCATTGAAATACTAATAATTTTATATTCGTTAACATTGTTCTTCATTTTAATTGTATTGTTTTTAAGTGTTTTTTGCACTATGAATAAGTTATGTGCAGTGTGCATAGGAATTCATTTTTTTTAAAAAAATAAATATATAATCCGACCCTCCACCAGTTTGAGGGACTGTGACCTGGCCCTCTGTTTAAAAAGTTTGAGGGCCCCTGGTCTACAGGAATTATATCAGGAGATGATTGTACCCTTTTCCCCTGCCTTGTCTACAGCTACTTGTTACTCAGAGATTTATGATAGACATTAGATACTGGCAGAACCTATGTTCTCTGAATTTATCTTGTTCTTGATTATCATGCCAATTAGTTAATAAGCATTGTGGATAGGGAAATTGTGTTCCCTCCAGATATTGTTGAAACTACAGCTTCCAGCATCCTTCACTACTGGCCATATTGTATATGGTTGCTGAGAGCTGCAGTTCCCCAACATCCAGCCATGTGATTTCAACCTCTGTGATAACAGCACATATATAGCATCTGTCACCTTGCTTTACAGAATGGCAGAGTGAGAATAGGAGCTGTCTCATCCTCTGCCCTTGTTCACAGTCCTCAATACTTACCTTCCCAAGTCGCAGGGAATAGTCGGTGCAACCCTCCTGTCCCCGTAGACTTGGTGGCACATACCAAAAACAAAGATTGATAAACTCAGGCTGGAAGAAATAAGCAAAACATGTTTTTAAAAAAGCTTTGGGGAGCATTTTCCCCAGTTTTTTCTGTCTACTCAATAGCATTTGGAGTTCTGGGTATTTATTTTCGGTAGCATATCTGCACCCTCATCAAATCAAGATGCCATAATGAAAGTAACGCATTAGCAACACAGCCTTGATGGATTAATGGCAGTTGCTGGGGAGAAACCAAATCTGTTTGGAAGTGCCTAATCCAGTATTGGAGAGAGCCCACAGCTACCATAGAAGATTGTGCTTTCTGCATTTAGAACATTCAGAGAAAAATTCCTGACAGTTGAAAAAGAAATCTGCAGAAAGACTCAGAAGGGCCCTGCTCGAAGCCCCTGAGAAATAAATTAGACCTGCCAATAATAAGCTAAAGTGACATTATTCAGTATGGCAGCTTCCTGTGCAATAGAGCACTCACTGGTCAGACAAATGGGACTCTGTGTGTCTAGAGGCACAGTTTTCAAGCCTCTCCATGTATCTGAAAATTTGTGTCTTACCACTGAAATCAGATGCCAAGTCTGAGGCTTCTTGCATGTTGTGAAGTCTTACCTCTATCACCAGCTGAAAACCTTCTCGCTTCTTAATCTCATTGGTCATATACCTAAAGAGAAGAGGAGGATGTTTGAGGACTGGGATGATTTACATCAGGACTGGGATGATTTACATCTACCTTCAGTAGATCAAGGAGTAATTTCATGCATCCTCAACACACCAGAGTGGCAATGCATCACTGCTGAAATTCAGTGGCAGAGCAACATAAGAGGTTGTTATTTCTTTATTTAAATATTTATATTCCCCCTTCCCTATCCCCTGCACCTGCATTTTAATAATGTATTATAAAGTCATATAGCAAGCAAATATCTTGTTTTAAAGAAATTTTGCACTGCCTGGAAAATGCTCCTAACAAGTGAAAGTATTTTTTTTAATTAACTCGTTTGATTTGATTGATTTTTCTGCTTGTGTTTTAGCATCACAAAGTCTGGAACAGTGGTTCTCAACCTGCTCAACAGTGGTTCTCAACCTGTGGGTCCCCAGGTGTTCTGGCCTACAACTCCCAGAAATCCAAGCCAGTTTACTAGCTGTTAGGATTTCTGGGAGTTGAAGGCCAAAACATCTGGGGACCCACAGGTTGAGAACCACTAGTTTAGAGGAAAGATGTTTTCTACCCTTGACTTCCACACCCCAGTTGGATAAAGCAATGGACATTTTCATTCTATTTCTTGTGCAGGCTTTGTATGAGGAAAAGTTGGGGTAGGGAGGAAAAGATTTCACCCTCAAACCTTCCTTCTCCAATACACACCTGGTGAAGGCAAATGCCCTGTCTACTCTCTGTTCCAAGCCCTTGGTACCATTGGCTTTCCACATCAGCCACAGCTTGAGGCAGTCCACTTTGCGTCCACATTGGATGGTTTGATCACCCCCATCATAAGCTGTGTCATAGAACTTGTCAGTCTGGAATAGATAGGTCGCCTTGGCACAGTGGCACCTTTGTAGTAGACCCTGCCAAGGAGCAGTGGTAAAAACATGTTTTAAAAACACCTTTTTAAAACTTGAGGCATTTATAACCTGCCTATCCATTAGGATGGTCAAAGAACATAAAGTTCAAAGAAATCTATACTCTGCTGAAAAATAGGAGCATTGAAAACAATGAAAGACAGCATGATGGATGATGCTAAAGCCCCAAGCAGGTTATGTGCCGAGGCAATTTTATGTAAGTAATAGAACATGGAGTTCATGTAGCAATGAGACTCCTTTCTATACGTTGTATAATAAAAGACCCGACTTAAAATATTTAAGAAGTTTTGGTAGCTTTGCTAATGTTCTAATTGCTAGACAGGCAAGAAGAAAGAGGCAAAGAAAATGGCAGAGATTAAGGTTCATTGGGTATGAAGAAAAAAACCTAAAGGGTATTGTTTTTATATAGGATATAATAAGGTAATATCCAGAAGTGCTAATTTTGAAAACCATTCTGGATAGGAACATGTGCACCAAAACAATGAAGTGTTTACATCCAATAATAATTGCAGACAAATATATCCAAGTTCAGAAGTTTATTTGCTAGTGGACAATGTAGAGGAAGAAAATAATCAGAGAAAATAGGACTGAAAATGAGGTGGAGCAGGCCCTTGAGTCCAGTGTGACAGAATTTGTTTCATCTGAATAGGAACAAAGAGAGACCCCTATGTCAAGTCAGAGGGTGCAGGAGGATGAAGAACCTAGCACAAGCACTGGAGAAAAAGAGAATGCCAATCAAGTAGCTATGAGGAGAATAAAATTGCATCATTAACTGAAATTCCAAGGAGGTCAAAAAGAACAAAGAGGTACCTCCAGAGAGATTTGTTGTGCAGAGTGTACGAATCTGCAAAGATAACAAAGAAGAAACTGGCTAGACAGGTTTAAATTATTGATAGGAGTGTTTTCTATTAACAGGAAAGGTTTTGGTTTGTAAGTGTAACCAAATCTTTATGTTCAAATGATTGTGTATAAAACTGTATGAATATGATATTTTTGTTGTATCACTGAATGGTTGGGGATTGTCACTTAAGAAAGGAAAGGGGTGTCCAAGTTTTTAAGTAGGTAATTTCTTAAGTGAATGTAGGTAAATGTAAGAATCAGACCCAAGCATGCTGTGAGTAATGACAATCAATTCACCTGATTAATCTGATGTAATTTGCAAAAATACTAAAGGAGTACAAAGCTTCTATTTTTTGAGGGTTGGTGTTGGAGGGTTGATGTTGAAGATTTGGAGAGTCTGTGTTGGAGGAGTGTGTTTAAGAGAAAGCTGCAAAGTTCCTGAAGAAAAAAGTGAAGACTTTTGCAAGCAAGAACGCTTGAACTACTTGGGAGTTGCTAGCAGAGTTGAAGAAGAGTTCCTGTATTGTAAATATTAGGCCTGGGCGGTTTCGTTCGTTAATTTTGTAATTCGTTAAATATTCGTTATTTTTAGCAATAACGAAACGATTACAAAACACATTTTCAAACCCGGAAGGTTTAAAAATAACGAACCGGCAACCCCCATAGTTTTAACGAGCTTCCGCCCGTTTCGTAAATGGGATGGAGGCTGCTGGTGCCCTGGGAGCCAATCCGGCGCTCCCAAGCACCCAAGCAGTGCACCGTGGCTGTTTCTGATTGGCCGGCAAGCCCTTTAAAAGCGGCTCCGCGTGGCCGTACAGCTCATTGCTGCAGAGGGCGAGGGAGAAGAGAAGAGGTCCGGGAGGGTTTGCATTGGGTTGGCTTGCAACTGCTTGGATTGGATTCATTCCTTGCTCATTCCTTGCTTGGATTCATTCCTTGCTGCTTAGTGCTTATTATTCCTTGCTTGGATTCATTCCTTCCTTCGGTTTTTGTGAATTTGTTTGTTAATTTTCCATTTTTAAATATTTTTAATAAAAATACCTGTCTTTTATTCTTAAAAAAAACAAAAAATATTCTAAAAAAGAAAAGACTCTTCTGTTGCTGTGTGCTCTCATTTGCCCTGTCTCGTGGCTGTGTTTGGTCCACATCAGGGCCAGTTTTTGGTTAATTTTCCATTTTTGAATATTTTCTAAAAATACCTGTCTTTTATTCTTAAAAAACCAAAAATATTCTAAAAAAAAAGACTCTTCTGTTGGTGTGTGCTCTCGTTTGCCCTGTCTCGTGGCTGTGTTTGGTCCACATCAGGGCCAGTTTTTGGTTAAGTTTCCATTTTTGAATATTTTCTAAAAATACCTGTCTTTTATTCTTAAAAAAAAACCAAAAATATTCTAAAAAAAGAAAAGACTCTTCTGTTGCTGTGTGCTCTCATTTGCCCTGTCTCGTGGCTGTGTTTGGTCCACATCAGGGCCAGTTTTTGGTTAATTTTCCATTTTTGAATATTTTTTAAAAATACCTGTCTTTTATTCTTAAAAAAAACCAAAATATTCTAAAAAAAAAAAAGACTCTTCTGTTGCTGTGTGTGCGTTTGTCATTTGTGTAGTTCCAACCAGTGCGCTCCTTTTGCCAACACAAAGTGCTATACTACAGTGCTCGCTCATTTGTGTAGTTCCAACAGTGCGCTCCTTTTGCCAACAGAAAGTGCTCGCTCATTTGTGTAGTTCCAACCAGTGCGCTCCTTTTGCCAACACAAAGTGCTATAATACAGTGCTCGCTCATTTGTGTAGTTCCAACCAGTGCGCTCCTTTTGCCAACCCAAAATATTTAATAACGAAGTTATTAATAACGAAGTTTTTAATAACGAAGTTTCGGAAGTCGCTTTGCGCATGCGCAAAGCGTCCGCCGTTTTAACGAATTGATTCGTTATAACCTTAACGAATCGACCCCGCACCAATAACGAAGCTTCGGAAGTGATTTTGCGCATGCGCGGGGGTCCGCCATCTTAACGAATCAATTCGTAAATATTTACGAAATTTCGTAAATACCGAACTTTTTTAAGGGAAAATTTTGTAATTATTTTAAATATCGAAACAAAAAAACACCCCAATTACAAATCGATTTTAGAACCAAATTTTTTCTTGATCAACCAGGCCTAGTATATACAATATATTATATTATAACATATTATTAGAATAGCACAGGAGATTATTTTAAATATCGAAACAAAACACCCCAATTACAAATCGATTTTAGAAACAAATTTTTGCGTTGTTACCCAGGCCTAATAAATATACTTTTGTATAAAGTCCTTTTTCTGCTACAAAGACAATTGGTGTGTGTCTACTCCTTGGAATTTGCTACATATAGCACCCTTTTAATTACACTGCGATACTAATGACAGCAATCAGGTGTATGGGTAATAATAGGTGAAAATTCAGAACTTAAGGACAACTTGCTAGTATTTGTTATGATCACTGTATGGGACTTCCAGTGTTCTCTATATAGCTAGTCTTCTTCAAAGATTACTAAATTTATGAGAAATTACACAAAGCTATCTATGCAAATCAGTATATCTTGTGTATACTCAAGTCACCTTGACTTTTTGGCAGAGGGTTGGACTCGATTGCTTCATGGTTCCTTTCAATGACACAACTTTAGAGACTATATTCCTTAAACTGAAAATATTCCCAGCACTTCCCCTTTGAGGGAGAAAGAAGCTGTCCTGGACTAGAGAAGGATGATATGTTGAATACCTACAGTGCTATCGTGAAGCAAGAAGGCAGAACACTGCAGGCCAGTCATGAGCATTTTGTGGGGGTTCCACGTCACTGAATCGGCCCTTCATGGGAAAAAGAAAAAAATACATTTGTGTTATGGGGTCTGATTGAAAAATTAAGCACAGGGGCCAAAAATCTTAAGATACAGGAAGAAGTAATGGAATGAAGATGGAAGGAAAAATGGATGCAAAATGGGCTGCCAAGTCTTCTTCTGAGATGCATTTGCCATGGTCTGTAATGGCTGTATCAGATTTCCAAAGGAGAAAGCTGTCTGTCTACTGATGAGGAAACTTTAAGGATGGCCACAGGTGGCACTGTGGCTTGCAACTCACAGGGATTATGTGACACATACAACCAATTAGAATTAAGCTCATTCCATATATGACACCAATTCAAGACTGGCTTCTCAGGTACAGACTGATCAACTTCAACAGCCCATTCCTGCTTGGCTCCAGCCTATTGTAATATTCTTACAGCCCATCTACCCAAACAATAAATAGCACCTACCTCTTGATTCCATCCAAAAGGTGCCGATGCCTTTGTGAGAGGAGGGCACTGCCACCCCATGCTGCCTACATAAGGAGTAAGAGATGCAAATGAGTCTTTAAGGATGCAGCTAGTCTAAAGGGCTGGACAACTGGGGTGCTACAGATGTTGGACTTTAATTTTCATCCTCTCTAACCAGCATAGCCAATGTGGCATATTATGGGAATTGTGTTCCAACAACACCTAAAATGTCACACATTTCTCCTTAGGTTTGCAGGTACAACAACCTCACCTCCACCCTGCCTCCCTCCCCCCACACACACCTTTTTATAACAGAAATATACTTCTCCAAGGAAATGTAGGAGTTCTCTACTCAGCACACTGTACTTACATCCACATGGAGCCAGATCCTGTGCCTTGCACAAACTTCTGCAATCTCTGCCACGGGGTCAAAGGCTCCTAGAACTGTGGTGCCACAAGTGGCATTGACAAAGAAGGGAAATGCTTTCTGGAATGGAAGAATCACAAAAGCAAGTGTTTGGTGGAAGGCAGTCATATTCAGGACCTTGCTGAACATGACTTGCCACCAACCAATATTTTCCCTTTTCCCATGCATCTACCTAGATACACTTGGTTTGAAAGTATATGACACAAAATAATCACACTCTGTGTTTCTTTACCAAAAATTCTGAGTGCTCTTACCAACACTGCAAGAGCTGGAGGAACATCACTATAATATTTAATTCTTAAAATCAGAGGAATGAATGAACCTCCCATGTTTTCCCCTCTATTGAAAATCTACCTCAGATTTGGCCCGGCTGATTTGTTTCTCCAGGTCAGCTGGGATCATTTTCCCTCTAAGGAAGAAACATATGATATTAATGTCATATCCTGAAGATCTAAATAAATTATTATTATTATTATTATTATTATTATTATTATTATTTCATTGCTTAAGACACCTCGCAGATCAACAAATATGGTTGGAAGGACTGATACATGACTGATTTAGCAAGTCATGCTCAAAGTTTGTTCATGGAACCATGCTGCATTTATTTCAGACTTGTGTCAACTTTGTTCTGCCCCACACTCAAAAGTAATATGGAAAGCAACACAATGAACTAAGCACTTCTTTGCTGTAACTCTAGGCTTGATCTACAGTGTCACTCTAGCACTTTAGGATTGTTTGTGTGTTCCAAGGACAAATAGTATTTGCAGCCTTCAGGTTACAGTCCAGAGTGGGGGTTTTTTAAAGAAAAGATAGCAGGAGAATCACAAGAAAGCTATTATTTGTTCATCTAGAAGTCCCTATGTCTCCATAGTATAATAAAGGGAAGCATGGAGTAAATGTACTCTAGATCTGAAAGTGCAATTGTTCTTATATATACATATTTCTTGGGAGTTGGACCTAAAAGTCCAAAGTGTGGCTCAGCAATGGAATGAGCAGTCTTAGAGCAGTCTTGTGAAGTCTCTTTTCTTGGACATTTCTCTGAAAAGCCTGAAAAGAGAGATAGCAAGAAAACTTTTGACAGAGAAGTATCTGTACTGGGAATAGGTAGCTGCTGGGTTATTTGATCCACTAATATCATGAACCTCACTAAGATTTGAAAACTCTCACTTTTCGTCCACTGCAACAAAGTAGACATTGTCTGTGCCAATGCCCAAGAAAGCTGCTCCTTTTTGGACTGAGTAGTGACTCTAGAAGGGAAGCCAGAAAAAGAGATCACAGATTACACAAGCTCAGGATTCTCACATCATCCTCAGTTGACCAGAATGGATGGGAAGAAAAGATCATACAAACTGTACTTCAAAACATCTTGAAGGCTAAAACTTTGCCTAGGAGTTGTCTCAGAAGGCAGCCATACCTCTTGTGATGTGAACATTGCCAACTTTGGTATTGCCCAAGTTCCCTTCTGTTTACAGTCTGGGAAGCAGTGGTACCGAGCCACATTCATGGCATACATGTTGGAGATTGATCCCCCTGCAGAGAAAAGGAGACCCCAAATCAACCATATTAATTGTTTAAGGGCAGTCCCCAAGTTATGAACAAGATGGTTTCTGTAGATTTGTTCTTAAGTTGTATGTAAGTCAGAACAAGTACATTTTTAACGTGTAACTTCAGCTATATATATAAAAGCTTTGGATAGCTTAGGAAGAATTAACACCCCAGTGGAGTTTGTTTTGCTGCTTAGTTGGATTTTTTCTAGTAACATGGGTACTAGCAAGATGGAAAGGTCTGAAGAAACACAGACTCAGTATTGGGTTGTAGAGGTGTGCATGCAATATATGAAATAAAGCTTGAGATGGGAAGGAATGGGATTCTAATGTAGCCAATCCTTCTAAATCTCTTTGTGAGCATGTGTGAACAGCAAAAACATAGAAAGGGGTGGGCGTGATGGAGATAAACTTCCTTCATCAGCTTCCCCAGTTTGTTAAAATAGCATAGATCTAAAGTTTGACCACCAAAGTGGAAATCTTAGCAAAACTGGGGGAGGTTGAAGAGAATGTACTTAGGAACATGTTAGAAGGAGTTTTCAGGTGGCCTTCAGCAGACTCAAAATGCTTTTGATTATTTAACCAAGACTTGTTCAGGATAAAAAAAAAAAGCTTTGTTGGAGTGCTTATTTTTTCATGGTATACTAACTTATCCTTATTCTTGCCATGTTATTTCTACTTCTGGTACATTTTTTTACAAAAAGGATACTCTTAAATGCATTTGCTTTGTTAACTGAGGGATTCCCATAGATTTCTTTTTTGAGAGAGATGAGTCTTAATGACATACTAAGGCCCCTTCCACACAGCCCTATATCCCAGGATTTGATCCCAGATTATCTAATTTAAACTGGATTATATGAGTCCAGATAACCAGATGTTGTTACTTAAGTTTTTAACATGACTGGTTTTTTATATTGACTTCTTACCAGTAAATGTGCAGTTCCTAGCACACGTTGCACTTGCATCACTGCACCTCACGATGTATATATGCACTAGGGCTGGGCGGTTTCGTTTTGTTAATTCGTAATTCGTTAATAATTCGTTAATTTTTTCAATTACAAAACGATAACGAACCATTCTGGAGCAATTATTTAAAAAAACGAATTTTCAAAAACGTTTTGTAAATGCTTCGTATTTCGATATTGTATTCGTTTCGTTATTGTTTTGAGGTCGTTTCGTTATTATTTCCGCATGTCTGGGCCAGTTTTATGGTTTAATTAGTGAAAAAAAATTATAATATCACACCAACAGTCAACAACAGAGGGAGAGGGAAGCTTTAGAAGGTTTTGGAGGTTTTTTAGCGTATTTCGCGGTCGCGTCCGCCATTAACGAATCGATTCGTTATTGTTTCGGAAATCGATTCGTTAATTTTTTACCATTTACGAAATTTCGTAAATATCAAACTTTTTAAAAGGAAAATTTTGTAATCATTTTAAATATCGAAACAAAAAACCCCCCCAAATACAAATCGATTTTAGAAACAAATTTTTCCGTTGTTACCCAGGCCTAATATGCACACTCTGCGTTATCCTATTTGCATCCTACTTTTAACTGTGAAATTTTACAGTATTTTGTATAGATGTTTGTTAGATGTTGTTTCTCTTGGTGTAAATGCATATGACCATTGGTCAGAGCATTAATAAACTGTTTGATTAACTGTTTGAAAATACTTCTGGTGCTAAGAAATATCACCATGTGGCTCACATACCAGGACAGAATATTCCGTCTCCTCTCTCCCAGCCAATCAGTTCCCTCAGCTTCTTCAGCACCACTTCCTCCATCAGAACAAAGACAGGGGCAATTTCATAAGTGTACCTGCAGCAGAAGATTTGATCAATGGGTGTTTTGGATCACCACAACTGAAAACTGTAAATCTTGCAAGCTTCACCAGGGAACAGCACTAGAATTGCAAGCCAAGTGGTCTCCATGAGGTATTGAACTGCAATTCCCATCAATCCTAGTTAGCATAGTCATTAGTGAAGTATTACAGGAATTGTTGGCCCACACTATCTGGAGGACCATATTCAGAAAATTAACCAAATTAAAATTTTAAGGATTCTTTTTCAGAGGAAAAGCTATGACCGTATGAGGTTGATACCTGTATAAACATATACCATTGAAGAAGTCCACAACTATGGGGTGGGGCGGTGGGGGGGATCTAAGGCCCACTTCAGTTATAAGATTATGCAGGAAGTTTGTCAACCTATAGCTCCAAATAGTGTGTAGTTCAAATGAAAAGGTGTAAAGTGACAGTATTTATCCTTTATTTATTTATTTATTTATTTATTTATTTATTTATTTAGATACTTTCCATGTGCCTTATATCAGAAAGTCTCAGATATAATCATCACACTAGGGTTTATTCCCTGCCAGCAGTCAACAAGGGAGTGGTTAAAGTCTATGAATAGAATGGGATGTTTAACAGCTGAATAGAATTTCAATGTAGATCTTGCATCTACATTCAAATCCTATTCAGATTGGGCTATTCACAATCTCTCAGTCTAAAATACTTCAAAGCATCATTATTTGGGCGGTATGATTTCTATCTAGCATGTACCTACTTCTTTCTTAGAAAAAAAGAATGTACAAAACACTTACTGGCTAGTGTTCAGCATCTCTGTGATGAAACGTCCAGTCAAAGCATGTGGATCAAGCCCTGAAAACAATTGGTTAAAAAAGCGTGGATGACCTGGGGGAACAGAAAAAGAGAGAAAGAATTGCTATATTGAGTTGAACCTCCTTTGGATCTGTGATCAGGTATTTGACACTATAACATTTGAATATGGCTTACTTTGGTGGTAGAAAGACAAGGAATACAGTTTTGTATACAGTATATGGATAAAATGGGGGGAAAGAGAAAAGACTGAGCAGCAATCAGTACTTGTTTTGTCTATTTCTAAGCAGCACTCGCTACTTCTTTTGTCTGTACTCTGTCTCTTGTTGAAGCATGGCTTCTTAAGGCAAGGATCGAGAAGATGTGACCCTCCAGATGTTGGACTACTGCTCTCATCATCCCTCATTGGTGTCTATGTTAACTGATTTGATGGGAAAGGCAGTTTATCACTGTCTGGGGAATCTTATATTACTCCTCCATAGAAATCAAGGATGCTTTAGTCACAACTTTTGGCTTACAAGTTCAGTAATTTTTAAAACACTGGGTATAAAGGAAGTATAAATCCACGTTTCTTTATTATTTCACAGGGAAAGATACATGGATTTAAGTTTTGGATATGGAGACTCAAAAGTTACCTCTCATCTGTTGCATGGCTATTTAACTGGAGAACCAGGTCAAAAATCTACCCACTTGCTGCATGGCTATTTAAACTGAAACGAAAGAGAGACTGTAAACTGTGTATGGATCTTTTCCTTCATTCTAAATGTTACCTCTTGTTATGTGCACTTAGAATCATAGAGCTGCAAGGGATCTTAAGCTCCATCTTATTCAATGTTCTGTCAGTGAGAAGTGGGCATTCAAACTCTGTTTAAAGATCTCCAAAGAAAAAGAGTCCACCTTGCTCTGAAGCAGTCAATTTCACTGTTAAACAGCTCTTAATTAATAATAATAATAATAAACCAAGAAATAACAGACTGCACTAAACTGAGGGATCACAGTCTCACAATAGCTATGTGGAAAAGAAACAATATCACAAGCAAATCAGGGCAGGAGGGAAAAATCTACTCTCTCTAAGTTAGATGCCAATGCAAGATACTCACATGTTTTCACACTATATCTGATAACATCTCGGCAACGCTCCAACAACCTCTCATTTGGTTCCCCACTTTCTCTTAGATCAAGGTCCAGAATTTGTTTCAGTTCCTCGGGCTCTATCCAATCACACACCTACAAACAGGATGGTTGACCAATATTATAAAGATCTCTTGCAATGTCACAACTTCATAAAGAAGGTCTCAACATGCTAATCCTATCTCTGAGGTATGCTAGAGTGATGATTCCAGGATTGTTCTTAAATCTTGTATACTAACACCACTACAACTTACGCTTGTGTATATTAACTGTAATGGCCTCATCTCCTGCTCTTGAGTAGGAAAGGGGACCCCAAAGATAATCTAGCTCCCAAAACCTACTGATTTACCCGATGTGAATTGGTAGCTCAGTAGGAAGTAGCTGAGTGGTTTGACTTGCACTTTTTCATCTCTGCATCTGCAGACCTTTTCTCCTCCCCTTTCCATGGGAGATGGGAAAACTATATGCATACACATCCCCACACTGAACAAAGGCATATGAAGAGAGCAAAGGCATATGAAGAAAGAGGAAATATTTAATTGAAAGCTTTTTTCTGATCAAGCAACCTTACCTCAGTAAAAGAGTATCTCATACATGAAGACACATTCCTTCAAGCATTACTTGGGAGTAATTAGAACATTACAAACAGCCTAAATCACACTCATCAGAAGCTAAAAAGAAAATTAATCCCTAACACATCTAACTAAATATTCCTATTCTACTCATGATACAGATTTTACATGTTCTACGACTCATATGGTCATTAGTAAGCTGGGAATCTGGACCCCTCTTGTCCAACCACACTGAGCAATTATTTCTCTCTTATGATCTCTGGGGCTCCTTTGTGATGTGACCCCCAATAAACGTAACTTCAACATGTCCTTAATCTTTGTTTACCTAAAGGAGAAACTATATCTCCCAGATAAGGGGAGAACCTATTATCATACTGGATCTCCACTTTGGGCAATAAAAACACTAATGAAGTAATGATTAAGGGGATAAAGAGCAGTGCTAGCCCCTCCTTTATCCAAAGAAAGACAGTCATTCAAAATGGCCTGAAGACATTTTATTGCCTGAAGTCAAAAATAAGATAGTAATCTGGCCTCAACTACATACAAAGGCTAACACGGCTCTCAGCTAGGTCTTAGGCCCCATCTATACTGATCATTTAATGCAGTTTGAAACTAGATCCAAACTGCTGTGGCTAGACAATGAACTCCCACAAAAGTGCATGAATCAAAGTGCGTAATGTACAGCAGTGCTCTGTGTTTTGTGTAATCACCATCAAAGTCTCAGACTGGTTTTAGGATTTCTTATGAATCATCTGCACAGCAAAATAACTTTCTTCAATAATGGCTTGAAATTGATTTAAATGATCAGTGTAGATGGGGCCTTACTTCAACACTACAATTGATGATAGTGTCCACCAGTATAACGTGAAAAAATGGCTAAATATTTTATATTGTTTAATGACACAAAAGATCTACTGTCAGAAGTAGCTATAAAGGCATGTCTACTATTCAAAGGGATAAGCAGAGGACAAGGTCCCATGACCTTCTGGCAAGGAAACTAGTCCAATGTGGGCTAGGCAAAACTACGGTGAGGTGGATCTGTAATTGGTTAAGTGGACGAACCCAGAGGGTGCTCACCAATGCTTCTTCTTCATCTTGGAAAGAAGTGACAAGTGGAGTGCCGCAGGGTTCCATCCTGGGCCCGGTCCTGTTCAACATCTTTATTAATGACTTAGATGAGGGTTAGAAGGCATCATCATCAAGTTTGCAGACGACACCAAATTGGGAGGGATAGCCAATACTCCAGAGGACAGGAGCAGAATTCAAAACGATCTTGACAGATTAGAGAGATGGGCCAAAACTAACAAAATGAAGTTCAACAGTGACAAATGCAAGCTACTCCACTTTGGCAGAAAAAATGAAATGCAAAGATACAGAATGGGGACGCCTGGCTCGAGAGCAGTACGTGTGAAAAAGATCTTGGAGTCCTCGTGGACAACAAGTTAAACATGAGCCAACAATGTGATGTGGCGGCAAAAAAAGCCAATGGGATTTTGGCCTGCATCAATAGGAGCATAGTGTCTAGATCTACGGAAGTAATGCTACCCCTCTATTCTGCTTTGGTTAGACCACACCTGGAATATTGTGTCCAAGTCTGGGCACCACAATTCAAGAGAGATATTGACAAGCTGGAATGTGTCCAGAGGAGGGCGACTAAAATGATCAAGGGTCTGGAGAACAAGCCCTATGAGGAGCGGCTTAAGGAGCTGGGCATGTTTAGCCTGAAGAAGAGAAGGCTGAGAGGAGATATGATAGCCATGTATAAATATGTGAGAGGAAGCCACAGGGAGGAGGGAGCAAGCTTGTTTTCTGCTGCCTTGGAGACTAGGACGCGGAACAATGGCTTCAAACTACAAGAGAGGAGATTCCATCTGAACATTAGGAAGAACTTCCTGACTGTGAGAGCCGTGCAGCAGTGGAACTCTCTGCCCCGGAGTGTGGTGGAGGCTCCTTCTTTGGAAGCTTTTAAGCAGAGGCTGGATGGCCATTGTCAGGGGTGATTTGAATGCAATATTCCTGCTTCTTGGCAGGGGGTTGGACTGGATGGCCCATGAGGTCTCTTCCAACTCTTTGATTCTATGATTCTATGATTCTAGGAGAAATGTAGCAACACCATTAAGACTAACTGGTTTTTGTTTTAACATGTGTTTTTGTGGATATAAACCTATTTTTTTGGATTTAGTATGAAGTGATAATACAGTAATCTGAACAGTATCTGAAGAAGTGGATTGATTTCCAAGAAAGTACTTGCAAAAATAAAAATCAGATTGTCTTAAAGATCAATTCATATTTTTCCCCTCCCCTTCCTTCCTCTTTTTTATGCTGAAAGAGAGTTATATGGGTACTTCTTTGAAATCTACTACTCAATGAAAGGTAGACGACCAGGCTTTGGGGGTGGGGGACATATTAACCTCCACTTATAATTCACTAAATAAAAAGTATAGTGTCAAAAGCAGATTACATTACAGTTTAATGAGGAACCACATTGTTCATTTTGTCTTGTGAGCAAACTGCTTTTGAAGAATTTAATTGCAGGGTGCATGTAACCTACAGTTATTTAAATCTGTTTTGTATCACAGGCAAGTACCTTGCACTATTCCGTAGTGTTTTCAGAGTAACTGAAATACAAATGTAATATAATTTGACTGGTTGTCCTGACACGGCAAAAAAACAACAACAAAAAACTGTTTCACTTACATTTGAGTGGTGCACATTGTAACTAATTATTTTTTAAACATAAATTTCAGAGTTTTGTTTCTCACTTCAGTTGCGGACATTGGAGTTAGGCTGGGAAGTATAGAAATCATTAGCACTCAGAAGAAATCTTACCTTTTCAGAGACATCCATCCCCTTTTTCACACCTTCTTCTATCAGGACCTGGAATGCTTCCTGAAGAAACTGCTCCCCAGACTCTTTGTCCAAGGCAGGATGTGACAGAGCATCTTCTGCCATTATTACCTACACCTTCTAAACAGCTCTCTGCAAAAACAGCCAAAAGGAAATGTATTCAAATTACCCAAAGGCAATGTCATACATATGTACATATATGGTATATATAAAAGTCAAAGTATGGATGTTTGCTCATACCACAAAGGTTCCTACATGACTTGATGGATCTGGATTTAGCACATATACAACTTAATTATGCAACTTAAAACAATTGAAGGGTTCAGAAGGGGAGGGGGTGATGGAGGATGATGGATGATAGGAGTCCAGCCGCATCCAGAAAGCCATATGAATCCCACCTATTATGGAACTGGACCAAACCTGCTACACCTACCCTTTCTGACCCAACTGATGGCCTCGTCAGACTGCCTGCCAGACTTGCCACACATTATGGTGAATCCAGCAGTGTCCATTGGGGAGCATGGGGAACACGCCCCATGCCCCACATCGACCGACTCAACCATTGCCTCATCCCACAGTGTTCCCCCCTCCCCCGGGTTCTTCCTGTTGACCTCTATTCAATATCGGAAACCTCCTGTGTTGCCGCCATGGCAGTATGTGCCAGTTCACCTATACTTTTGCAACAGGGCCCCACTGGAAGACGTCGTACCTCATGTGATGAGGTGGTTAAAATATTGATAGAGTTTGAGGGAGCAGACTGAACGGTGGATAATGGGAGTTGAGGGCCAGCGACATACAGGGACCTATGTGCATCCCATCCCCAATGTATCTGGACCAAAGATACTACACAGACACTTCAAAATCCAAGTTAAAATACTGGTGGGTTTTCAGGGAAGCTGATGGAAGTTAGCAGAGTTGTAATCCAGTCACATCCAGAGAGCCTTGGAATCCCACCCATAAGTGATATCAGATAAACCTAGTATATAATCCAAGTTAAATATTGGTGGGCCTTGGGACAGATCCTGATAAGAGGATGATGGAAGTTGAAGTCAAGCCACATCCAAAGACCTGCACTATTGTCAATTCCAATCCAGCCAGATCTGGGGCTGAGGAAAAATCCAGCTAACCACATCTGGAGCTGATGGGAGCTGTAGCCTGACCAAATTTTGAGCCAATAGAAAGTCCAACCCATCACCTATACAATTTTATTAAAATATCCATTATACAGTTATTCATTTTCTAATGAGAACTATTCATAAAATCATAAAGCTAATAATGTGTGTTTTTAATAAACAGCATTAGAAAATGCATATCCAGGCAAAGCTGGATTCATAAACTAGTCAGGATATTTCTGAAATATGTTAGGTATTTCCTAAATTATTGCAATCTGGCTCACTTCCAAATTGTGTCTCTGAAAATAACACCTTTTTTTGCCAGGGGAGGGGGTGTCTTGAGAAATTCAACACTTAAATACATGCTTAAATTTGGATCCCCAAGAATTTGGATCTCCAAGATATCTCATCAACAAAATCCAACATGCATTTTGACCCAACATGAAAAAAAATCCAAAAAATGGAACATTAGGGATATTCAACTGTACCTGTCTTTTGTTCATGGAGGGTAAGGATGTAGCTGCATGATAAGGCACAATTCAAAGTGCGGGCTTTAGCCTATAAAGCCCTAAATGGTTCTGGCCCAAGCAAGCCCATTGTAATAACCCACATGTCCGAACACATCTCCCCTTATGAACCATCTAGGACCTTAAGATCATCTGGGGAGGCCCTGCTCTCGTTACCGCATTTGTCACAAGTACGTTTGGCGGAGATGAGAGACAGAGCCTTCTCGGTGGTGGCCCCTCGGCTGTGAAACACCCTCCCTATAGATATCAGATCAGCCACCTCCCTTTTAACATTCCGGAAAAAAAGTCAAGATGTGGCTTTTTGTTAGTATGCTAGTATGCATACTAACAAAGCAGTGGGAAAAGATATGGACAATAAAAATAAAATATTTAGAAGCCAGCGATCTACGAGAGAACTGGTTTAAGATGTTTTATCGATGGTACTTTACACCAGAAAAAATATCAAAATTTAATAAAAGTGGCTCAGACTTGTGCTGGAAATGTGGCAAGGAAAAAGGAACCTTCTTCCACCAATGGTGGACATGTAAATTAGTCAAAAAATTCTGGAAAGAGGTGCATAAGGCAATGCAAAAAATTATAAAAGTCAATTTTTCCCAAACACCAGAAACATATCTACTAGGAATTACAAATATAAAATTAAACGAAAACCAAGAGAAAATAATCTTTTTACTCAGCACAGCTGCGAGGATTTTACTAGCAAGAGTCTGGAAGTCCAAAGACGTTCCGACTATAGAAGAGTGGTATATTAAAATTTTAGATATTATCCAAATGGACAGTCTCTCCCAGAAATTAAAAGGAATAAACAAACATACAAACTGGTCAGGTGTTAAAGACTTTATTACACTCAAGGACCTCCCTGTTCAAATCAACTTGTCTTACATATGAAGAAAGAAGACACAGAGGACAACGCTGACACGGAAGCACAAGAAACAACAGAAAGTAAAGATTCCTGGAAGACTGACGGGAAGCAATCCCCCTTCCTTCCCTTCCCTCCGTTTTTCCTTCCCCCATCCCAATTCCCAACACCTTCCTCACCCCTCACCCCCTCACCCCTCAACCCTCCCCTTACACTACTAACCTTAACCCACACCCCCTATCTCTCCACTACCCCCGATGTATGTATATACTATGAAAAACCCCAATAAAGAAAATTAAAAAAAAAAAAGATGTGGCTTTTTGAACAAGCGTTTCCAAATGCAGAGTAACTGACATAGGAAAGTGGAACGACGACAATGAGACCGGACAACGTTTTTAACAAGGTGACTATGAATTTATATTTTATTGATATATTTATTTTTATTACATGTTATGTTTTTAATTGTATTTATGATATTGTAAGCATTGAATTTTACCCTGTTAACAGCCTTGAGTCGCCTACGGGCTGAGAAAGGCGGTATACAAATACAGTAAATAAGAAATAAGTAAAGAAATAAGGACACCCCACCACATTACTAACAGAAATTACTACAAATAATGCAATGATTTAAATAATAAACCATCTTAATTGCCATAGGGAAAATGTGATATATAAATGCAGGTAAACAAATAAAAACATACATCCCTTTCTTCTTGCCCAGTTCTCTCATTGTGCAGCACTGTCACTTCAACCCTACCAACAGTTTAAAGATAATATTTCCATCTATAAAAACAAAACAACTACATTTCAATTAATCTCTCAAATTAGGATTTCCAGAATAATTCAGAACCAAGTGAACTGCATTCCAAGTAGATCTGTTTGACTGCAGCATAAACTGCATTAGGTACACTACACTATTTTTGATAACTTTCACCTCCCCATTGCTTATTTTTAAAAATGTAGCAGTGCTGTTAATCATTCAGCCGGACCTGTTTGCAGTCTGTCTCTGTGGCCGTCCCCTTCTTGGATATCAAACAACCTTGCTCTTGCTCTCTCCTGGAGACTAGGACTTAGGTGCTCTGTGTCAGAAAGAATTCATGGCTGCACACAGAAAGCTTACTCATGCAAGATGTTAGGTCCACTTCTTTGCACAGTTGGAATCACTCACAGCACTAACCCTACATAGTACTGAACACGTTTTCAGCCTGATCACTTTTTAGGGATTGTTCACCCACGTCACAGGAGGAGAAAGAACATTATACCCAATCGCTATGGTTACCTGCTCAGTCCTACCCTGATCACCACAGTTTGCGGGGCAAAGTGCAGAAAGAGTGACCTGTGTTCCTGACAAGTACCATTATACATTGTGGGAGTGGGGATTATTTGCATGTGAGCAAGAAACCTCATAAATGCTTATGTTTGTGTATTTTAGCCCTGAAAGCTGACAATGGGGCACACCCTGCACTTCTTTTGAGATGACAAAGAAGCAGTATAATAATTTGAGCCAAAACTATCATTGACTGTGTTTCAGTAGTTAATATATTTCCAGACTCTATCTGAATGAATTGTGTTGGAGTTGCATTCATACTGTGGGCCCTTGGTATTCACTGAGGTTTGGTTTCAGGACCCTCCTTGGAAACCAAAATCCATGTATACACAAGTTCCATTATATACAATGGTGAAATAAAATAGTGCCCCTTAAATAAAATAGTAATGTCAAGCATTGCTTTTTGGATCTTTAGGAAATATGTTCAAGCCGTGAATGCAGAATCTATGGACATGACTGTATGAATACACACTCTCTCTCTCTCTCTCTCTCTCTCTCTCTCTCTCTCTCTCTCTATCTATCTATCTATATATATATATATATATATACTAGCGGTCCCCTGCCACGCATTGCTGTGGCCCAGTCTGGTGATCTGGAAAATAAAGTAATGAGAAAGTGTTGGTTTCTAATATATACAATGTCTTTATGCTAGTGGGTAAACAGTATTCCTTGCTGTTTCTTTGTCAGTGTTGATGTGGAGATTGTCTGGTTTGCCTACTCTGGAACATGCAACATATTGTTGTCCTTCTTTAGGGGTCCCTTTCAAATCTTTGATATTGCAGCTGTCGTATACATATGTGTGTGTGTGTGTGTGTGTGTGTGAATAGCTGGATGGCCCTTTGTCAGGAGGGCTTTGATTATGTTTTCTTGCCCTGGTGAAGGGAGTTGGACTGGATGGCCTTAAGACAGCATTTCTGAACCTGGAAAGTCAAGACCCTGGGGAGGGGGGGGTCACCAGGGGGGGTGTCAGAAGGGTCACCCAAACCACCAGAAAACACAGTATTTTCTGTTGGTCATGGGGGTTCTGTGTGGGATGTTTGGCCCAATTCCATCGTTGATGGGGTTTGGAATGCTCTTTCATTGTAGGTGAACTATACATCCTAGTAACTACAACTCCTAAATGTCAAGGTCTATTTCCCCCAAACTCCATCTGTGTTGACATTTGGGCATATTGAGTATTCCTGTCAAGTTTGGTCCAGATCAATCATTGTTTGAGTCCACAGTGTTCTCTGGATGGAGGTGAACTACAATTTCAAAACTGATGGTCAATGCCCACCAAACACTTTCAGTATTTTCTGTTGGTCATGGGAGTTCTGTGTACCATGTTTGGTTCAATTCCATTGTGGGTGGAGTTCAGAATGCTCTTTGATTATAGGTGAACTATAAATCCCAGCAAATACAACTTTTTGAGTAATGGTCACTCCTTGTGTTGAGAGACGTTTTGTTGCCAAATTTGGTGTGATTTCGTTCATTTGTTTTTAAGGTACTCATTATGCACAGAGCATTTATATATATATAGATAGATAAATACCCCCTATTTTGCTTTCTATAAAGGAGACTCCAAGAGCACAGCATTCTGTATATGGATGGAGATGTACAGAATGCTGTCATAGTTTGACAATCTTCATGTTTTCTCCAGTACAGCAGGGATAGGAAACTGTGGCCTTCCAGAAGTTCAGTTCAATAGTTCCAGTCTGTAATGTAACAAATGGGGAAAGATAATCAAGGGACCTGAAATAACAACACTTTCACATCTCCCTGTCATCTTATCCAATACCTGAAGCATAGAAGAGAATATGCATGGATTTGCCACCAAAATAATCTCCTACTTACCTCCAGTCCCAAAATACTGACCAAATAATTGGACTTACATTGATTCTGGAAAACAGTCACAATTGAATCACTTACTAATGCTAGGAAGTGAATTACAAGGCTGTATGTGCAAAGCCCCTCTTTATAAGGGCTTTGTTTAGTATGCTTTATGGCAACACTTCTTAAACTGTGAGTCATGATCCCTTAATGTGGGGCTCACAAAGAATGTGCGTAGCTTGCCACCTTGTGGCTGTTTTAAACATTTACATTAATCTGTCAGTAACACCAGGCAGCAAATGCTTTAGCTGTATTTCATAAAAAAAAGGAAAATCAGCCTGCTTTGTTTAGCAAATCATGCAAAGACTGATTTTGCTTGATGATTATTTGTTTAGTTCAGAACTACTTCCCTTCAAATTTTGACATCCCTGGCTAGACGAGTTCCTCTCACAGTGGGGAAAAGGAACAGCTGTGGTTGGTAAATTCAAAGTCCAAGTCTGTTTAAAGATCCACCAGGGGTGTGAACCCAGGTATGTATTGATGTCAAATTCAAATAGTCCCATGATTAAATTAATGTCCAGTCCAGGTAAATACAAAGAGGTAGTCCAGAAAAACACAAACAGGTGATTGGGATTACTTGATGAAATAGTGGTCTGGTCTTGCTCACAGCAGGTTCACTGATGCATATCTGAAAATGGCTCCAATCTCATCAATGCAAGCCAGGAGGTTAGCGGATTTGTCAATGGAGAAGAGATTTGGTTCATATAAACACAACAGATTGTATCAATGAGACTAGGATGCCTCCAGGCTAGTATACATTAGCTGGCTTTAACTAGCTAATGTATGAGATAGATTTACATATTTGTAGTTCCAGGCACATTTCAAGGATTGATTTCATTATACAATCTCATAAAGGTGAATTTCATAAACAAGGGAAGATGTAGCTGGCCAGACTTTTCTGGAATTGAGAAGTGGTCTTTCAACATTGTGAAGTTGATTGAAAAGAAAAATAAAATAAATTCAATTTTAATTAATCTCTGTCTGTTCATATTTAATTATGAGATGGGTAAATTTCTCAATATCAGTGGTATGACTAAAAACCTGCTCCAGCAGCATTAGAATGAATGTAGTTAGACACCACTTTAGCTGCCATAGCTCAGTACTCTGGATTTCTGCCTTTTGTAATTTGTTGAGGCACCAGCATTTTTTAGTAGACAAGGCTGAAGACCTTGTAAAATTACAACTCCCAGGATTTCATAGCATTGAATTATAGCAGGTAAAGTGGTGTCAAATTGCAGCAATTCTACAATTTAGATGCACTCTTGGACTTTGTGGGAATGGAGACTGGTGTCACCTGCAAGTTTTTACTTCTTCTTTAATCCTGGTTACTTAAAATTTAATACAAGGGTGGTAACTGGGCAACCTTTAGACCAGTGGTTCTCAGCCTGTGGGTCCCCAGATGTTTTGGCCTTCAACTCTCAGAAATCCTAACAGCTGGTAAACTGGCTGAGATTTCTGGGAGTTGTAGGCCAAAACACCTGGGGACCCACAGGTTGAGAACCACTGCTTTAGACGTTATTAGGCCTTAACTCTAAGCAGCTCTAGTCAGCATATCTCACTATGTGGAATACTGAAAGTTGCAGTCCAACATCACTTGGAGGGCCATCCTTGTTTTAAAGGAGAAGTTTGAGGGGCTGGTTACCTTTTCCTTGCCAGCTCTTTCTCTACTTGGTATCCCTAACCCAATTTGCATTTCTTCCCATGTGGGAAAGACAGAGGGATCAGAATGAGGTAAGACTGAGTGATTCTTACTGCCAAATGGAGACTTTGATTAGCCTATCCTAGAATAGCTTCTTCAGTCTTGTGTAGACAATGATTAACAGTAGAGAACAGTTTTCCAATTGTATTTTCAGCAAAATGTCTCTGCCATGAAGAGTTCATGGCATACTTTAGAGACTGTCCTGAAACATTACCACTGCTATAAGGAATATTAAGAACTGAAAGACTGCATTATTCTTTCTTGAACTCCTGTAAGTGATCAGCTTGCACTCTAAAGTACAAGCTGTACTCAGGCTTATCTAACTTTCCTGCTCAACAGATCCATAAAAATATTATTGGCAGCTGCTTTTGGCAACCATCCAACCTCATATTGCATCAATATATGTACTAGTTGTCTTTCCTCAAAGTTCACCTAAGACTGAGATATTTCTGCATACGATTACTGTTTTTTTTAAAGGTTTAAGCAACAGAGTTTAAGAGCCAGGTAGGCCTGCAGTCTGCTGAGTCCCCTGGATTTCTGACCAAAATCAAAGATGACTTGCTTTTTTGGAAGCCACTAGAACTGAGATCAATCTTTTAAATAAGTTATAGTGGCCCTTCCAAGCATTGTTTAACACGAAGAAATGTCAATTTTTCAAAAGTTGGAGAAAACTTCTGGCCAGGAGGATGACATACTTTTGACATACTTAAGAAAGTGGAATGACATACTTTTGGCAGGCTACACAAATTAGCCAAAGACAACCAAAATTGATTATGCAATAATAAGAAATTGAGCAACTAATGATTTGTTTTCCTTTTGTGACATTTAAAACTTATGAGCTGAGTTCACTTCACCCTGCCTGATGACTATCTGTGGATAGCACTGCTTACAAAGTAGCAGAGATGGGCTGGATTTAGATAAATAGGTCTTAACTAAATACAGCACAATGCAACCACTGTGATGAGATCCAGCTTGCAAATAACTGCTGCCTAAAAACAGAGGGGCAAGAAGAGGCTTCAAAACTTCCGCTTCAACATAGCAGACTACAGCACTTCTCTGCACAAAGATCTGCTATCAGGAAAACTGATGATAAAAACTTGGCTGTGGGGCCAAGCTTTTGGGACAGGGCAATAAAGCAGCAATAGGAAAGGTTACCAGGCCAATTAGATTTGACGCAGATGACCAAGACGGTTTGAAATTGTGTGTTTTAATATTGAGATAAATGTTTTTAATGTTTATGTATGCATATATGAATTCTTGTCCTGGCATTGAATGTTTGGCGTATATATGCTGTGCTTCGCCCTGAGTCCCCTTCAGGGTGAGAAGGGTGGAATATAAATATTTTAAATAAATAAATAATAACATTCTGTTAGAACTCCATGTAAATAATGCCCCTTTTATCAGATAATTTACTTTTCAGGTTGTATCTTCTTACTACACAATTGCTCCTACAGTCAAGAAATATATGACAGCGTGGACTCAGATAACCCAGTTCAAAGCAGATATTGTGCGATTTTCTGTCATGATATGCTGTGATATCATGTGACTGAGTGAAGAGTAGAGACATCACACTGGCAATGAAGATCCGCATAGTAAAAGCAATGGTATTCCCCTTAGTCACCTATGGATGTGAGAGCTGGACCTTAGGGAAGGCTGAGCGAAGGAAGATAGATGCTTTTGAGCTGTGGTGTTGGAGGAAAGTTCTGAGAGTGCCTTGGACCGCCAGAAGATCCAACCAGTCCATACTTCAGGAAATAAAGCCCGACTGCTCATTGGAGGGAAGGATAGTAGAGGCAAAGATGAAGTACTTTGGCCACATCATGAGAAGAAAGGAAAGCTTAGAGGAGACAATTATGCTGGGGGAAATCGAAGGAAAAAAGAAGAGAGGCCGACCAAGGGCAAGATGGATGGATGGCATCCCTGAAGTGACTGGATTGACTCTGAAGGATTTGGGGGAGGTGACGGCCGATAGGGAGATCTGGCGTGGGCTGGTCCATGAGGTCACGAAGAGCCAGAAGCAACTTTTTTTTTTGTCGTGTCAGGAGAGACTTGAGAAACTGCAAGTCGTTTCTGGTGTGAGAGAATTGGCCGTCTGCAAGGATGTTGCCCAGGGGACACCTGGATGATTTGATGTTTTATCATCCTTATGGGAGGCTTCTCTCATGTCCCTGCATGAGAAGCTGGAACTGGTAGAGGGAGCTCATACGCCTCTCCCCGGATTCGAACCTGCAACCTGTCGGTCTTCAGTCCTGCCGGCACAGGGGTTTAACCCACTGCGCCACGGGGGGCTTGAAGTGTCAAGCCTTGAAGTGACTGGCTTGACTCTGAAGGAGGTGGGGGCGGTGACGGCCGATAGCGAGCTCTGGCGTGGGCTGGTCCATGAGGTCGCGAAGAGTCAGAAGCGACTGAATGAACAACAATGCTGTGATATAGGGCTGTGTGGAAGGGCCCTTATCCTCAGTTTCAATTATTCACTAAGCCAGGCTAGGAGTGAGGACCCTTCCACAAAGCCTTATATCACAGCATTGTTGTTGTTCATGTTGTTGTATCTGAGCGTGGACTCAGATAACTTAGATATTTTGGAATTTTTTGTCTGAGATATAGGGTTGTGTGTAACCTTGGTAACATTCCTCTTCCCTCCTCCAAATACTTTCTCTGCCCGCTACCAAGATGGCGGCTAAAGAAACAGGCTCATTCCCGACGCATGCGCAACCGCAGCCAGGCGGAAGCGGTTGTTGCCGTGCGTGTGTCTGTGGGATACCGGGCTCCAGCGTTTCCGCTTCCGAGGCAGCGGCGGCCGGGAGCGCTTGGTGGCAGAGTGGCGGTGCCGAGGCCTTTGCATGTTCTGTCCCTGGAGAATACCAAAAAAAGAAAGAGAGGGAGGCAGAGCGGGAGTGACGGGAGCGGAGCCAGGTGCGACTTCCTGTTTGCGCGCGCCGTTGTCCTCGAGGGTGTGCGCGCTCTCCCCCCCCTCCTCTTCATTGCTTGGCGCCATTGAGCGCGAGCGCAGCGGGGCGCGCGGGGGCTGAGTAACTGCTGGTGGCGCTTTCTTGTGGAGGGAAGAGGAGAGCATACTTTGGCCTGTGACGTCACTTACGGAGCGGGGAGGGGGGAGTGAGGGTGGTGCGGGCCTCAGTGGGTGACGCCATCAGAGGGGGTGGCGCCTCAAAGACTGCCTGTAAAACAATTTGTGCAGTGTTCCAGCATAATTTTGTTCCTATTTTTTTATTTTAAGGAGTATCCCTTTACTTAGATTTAACCACAAGAATATAGTATCCATACTTTATCAATATACAGGGTTTTTTGGCTATTTTTTTTCTGGTGGCTTGAGAGTTCCTATTTAAAACAGGCCTAAGTAATAGTACTCTATCCCATACTCTACCAAAAAGTCTGTATTCACTTGWTACTCATATTGAAATACAGGTATTAATAATAATAATAWTAATAATAATAATAATAATAAAACTTTATTTGTACCCCGCTACCATCTCCCCAAGGGACTCAGTGCGGCTTACATGAGGCCGAGCCCACAATACATCAGTAAAAACAGCAACAACAACAACAACAACAATACAAAACAATAAAATATTTATTTATTTTTTTATTTAAAAGTTTTAAAATCTCTCTTGAGGGACTCAGACCGGTTTCCAACCATAATATCACAGACAATCAATAAAACATCATAATTCATATTACAGTAAAACATTAAAACAGCAATTACAATCAATAACTACAATGGTCAGTCATCACACTAAAATCGTTGTTCATCATCCTCCTTCCATATCTCAGGGTGTTGACTCACTCGTCGAATGCCTGTCTCCATAGCCAAGTCTTCACCTGTTTCCTAAACGTCAGGATAGAAGGGGCAGTTCTGATCTCCAGTGGGAGAGAGTTCCAGAGCCGAGGAGCCACCACCGAGAAAGCCCTGTCCCTCGTCCCCACCAGACGCTCTTGCGAGGCCGGTGGGACCGAGAGCAGTGCCTCTCCAGACGATCTTAATAATCTTGATGGTTCATAGGGGAGAATACGTTCGGAGAGGTAAACAGGGCCGGAGTCGTTTAGGGCTTTAAAGGTTAACACCAGCACTTTGAATTGTGCTCGGAAGCTAATTGGCAGCCAGTGGAGCTGGTGTAACAGCGGAGTGGTGTGCTCCCTGTACCCAGCACCCGTTAGTAGTCTGGCTGCCGAGCGTTGGACTAGCTGCAGCTTCCGGGCAGTCTTCAGAGGCAACCCCACGTAGAGAGCGTTGCAGTAGTCTAAACGGGATGTAACCAAAGCGTGGACCACCGTGACCAAGTCAGACTTCCCAAGGTGGTGCACAAGTTTTAATTGTGCAAATGCTCCCCTGACCACCGCCGAAACCTGGGGCTCATAAACTCATAAACAGAAAATAAGCAGTAAACACCAACAATAACACAACAACGTTTAAAAAAAACCTATGACTGGGCCAAATGTAATAGTTAAATTTTTAAAAAATAATGCTGAGCATGACCAGGTGAAATATAACTAGGATAGAATTTTCGGAGAAGAATGGGGCGTGCAGACAATCCTAGATCACTAATAAAGTGCATTTAGGGATTTATTGCTGGGAGTTTCCTTATTCTGGGAAGGCACACTGGAACAACCACGTTTTCAGGCTCCTCCTAAAAATTGCCAAAGTTGGGGCATGCCTGATATCTTTGGGGAGTGAGTTCCAGAGGCAGGGGGCCACCACCGAGAAGGCCCTCTCCCTCGTCCCCACCAATCGCACCTGCGTTAGAGGTGGGAGCACGAGCAGGGCCTCTCCAGATGATCAAAGAGATTGTGTGGGTTCGTACACAGAAATGCGGTCACACTTACCTAAAGTGTATCACAGTTTTACAGAGTTGTACAGGTATTTAATATTGGGTGGTTGTAGGTTTTTTCGGGCTATATGGCCATGTTCTAGAGGCATTCTCTCCTCGCGTTTCGCCTGCATCTATGGCAAGCATCCTCAGTGGTAGTGAGGTCTGTTCTAGAGGCATTCTCTCCTGACGTTTTGCCTGCATCTATGGCAAGCATCCTCTGAGGATGCTTGCCATAGATGCAGGCGAAACGTCAGGAGAGAATGCCTCTAGAACATGGCCAAGTAGCCCGAAAAAAGACCTACAACAACCCAGTGATTCCGGCCATGAAAGCCTTTGACAATACGTATTTAATATTGTTTTAAATTTTATTTACATTATTTTTATCCTGCTTTTTGCTCAATATATAGAGCTCAAGGAACCTAAAATTTTATTTCAGGGATTATTTACTTTGTAGTTGTAGTTGCTGGAATTTATAATTCACCAACAATCAAAACATTCTGCACTCCACCAACAATTGAATTGAACCAGACTTGACACACACAACTCCCACGACCAACAGAAAATACTTAAAGGGTTTGGTTAAAGGCTTTCTTTTATATGATTTTGTGGGAGTTACTGACGGACACAGCTTGAAGCTAGCTTTGAACTGCATTAAATAGTCAGAGTAGCTACTATAGTAAGTATCTTATTCTGGTAAAAAGCCCATCATCTATTACCCGCCTTAAGTCTTCTTAATCTTTTCCAAATTTTGGCTCTCTTTTATGCCAACTCTGTGCAAGTTTCCTGTTTTGTGTCATTCATGTAGGCTCCATGTGCTATGTGTTAGAAATTTATTTGGCCACAATTGACCAATCATTGTAGTAATGATAACTTGATTGTACTGCGTTCAATATGTTATAACAGTATTACAATCATAAGCTATAACTGTTAAGACAAAAAGTGTATTCTCTATTTCTTTTCCTAAATATGCAGTCAATTAATTTTTCTTTTGGCTTAACCCACAGGTGGAAACTTGGAGAAGAAGAGGCAGGGCTTCTGTAGCAGCTGTCTGAGGACTCATAATCCTTTCTCCAGTGAGAGCTATCCTGCAGGAGAAATTTAGTTTTACAGTGACTCATCCTCAAGAGCAGCAGCCTGTAACTTTTCCTAGCTTTAAACAAGACTAGAGAAACTTGCTGTACATCCATTTTGGGCTCTCAAACTCCTGAAAGATGTCAACTATGTCAACTATGTGAAAGGACCAACACAGAAATGATTTACTGAAAAAAATTATAGTCGAAAAATTATTTCCTGGACAAGAGAGAGAAAGCACAAGGATTTGGTGTGATCTACGTTTTGAGGACTGTCAGACTACAGCAATGGCTCAGGTAACAGACCTCAGTTTTCCCATCCCTTCCCAGCAGGAATTCATCCTTGCAAGAGGTGGCCAAAGCCCCTCAGTAATAATTGGTTTTTGTGGTGTAAATTGTTCATTTTTCAAGGGTTTCCTACATTAGGCGATATTCTTAAACATAACATCCTGGTTCCTCCCAGACTCTTTCCTTACAGCCATTCTTGAAGAATGGGGAAGGACCAGCTTCAGTGAGGGTGGAACTGTCACTTCCTTTCTCTTATCCTGCGTTTAAATGGTTGTATGCATAATTGGAGTAGGGATTGATTAGAAAGAGAAATAATATGCTTAACCATCTGTCTGATATAAGTTACTTGGTATGTGTATTCCTTTTTAGTTTTGTCCATAATGCTCAGCCTAGTGGAACATGGGCATGATGCAGTGAAGGATGCTGGATAACAAATATTGCAGGTCTGATGTGTTCTGGAAGCCATGTCTAGTCCATTCATTTGTAAGACATGCAGGATAAGAGGCTTTATCCTTAGCTATCTGTATCGTGATGCAACATGTAGAAATAGGATCACTTCTTAAGGAAGCAGTCTGGAGCCCCCGGTGGTGCAATGAGTTAAATCCTTGCATCGGCAGAACTGAAGACGGACAGGTTGCAGGTTCGAATCCAGGGAGAGCATGCCCACGCCTGCTCCTCATGCGGGGGCATGATGAGCTCCCTCTTGTCAGCTCTGGCTCCCCATGCGGGGGCATTATAGAAGCCTTCCACAAGGATGGTAAAACATCAAAACATCCTGGCATCCCCTGGGCAATGTTCTTGCAGATGAGCAATTATCTCACACCAGAGGTGACCTGCAGTTACTCAAGTCGCTCCTGACACGAAAAAAGGAAGCAATCTGAACTAAACTCTTTCTTCCATCCATATAAATCAGGAGTCAGGATCATGGAGCCCTCCAAATATTGTTGGACTGCAACTTCTAGCATTCTTCTCCATTGGTTGGGCCGGTAACAACTGATGGGATTTGTGGTCCACTTGTATTTGAAGGGTTGCATAATTTCCAGCCATAATATAAATGAAGAAAGTGGTCACCCAGGAGCTCTCAGTATTTTTAAAGGGATAAGTGGAGATAAATCCACTAAAACCTCTGAGAAAATTGTGAGAATCTATACACATGGTATGTTGGCATGCATGTTTTGCTGCCTCTTTATGCCAGCCTTCCTCTAAGGTGGGATGGGCAACTGTCAGTGTTAAAGGGTACATTGGAGTCCCAGGGACTATTGGAAGCTGCTGCGGTTTGCAACCCCTAACTCTTTGAATGAAAATAAAATCTAAAAACGACTATTTTTTTTTTGTCTGAAAGCACCCCACATTATCCTCTGGGAGCATGAGGGAAATTTTACCATATTTTTTTTATTCTCCTCTGTTTTCAAGACCCCCTAAGCTGTTTTGAGCCCAGAAGAATTCCTTCCTAAAACAGGAAGTGACTGAACATCTTTAAATAATGTTGAGGAATTTGGGGTGGAAGGGCTGGAGCACCACAAAATAGCTTTGGAGGGATTCACTTTCCCCATCCCCTGCTCTAAGAGCATCAGAGTGGCTCTTTGTGTGTTGATAACCTTGTAATGTAGATTTGTGTGGGAAGAAGTTAGCTGACTGAATTTCTCTGGTTGTAGTACATTCTTCTGCCCGGTACACAGCAGTGGCTAAAAAAAACCCATTAGGCTAACTAACACTGGATTCAGTGTTAATGTATTGATTTCTGAGTGCACATATTTTATAGAACAATGAGAAACATCCTTCAAAGATGTGCGAACATGATAATCTCACATATCCAGCAGCTTTTTCTGAATCTCTTTGTGCTTCCTCCTTTTGCCTCTCTTTTTTGTGTTATACTTCTGATTTCATCCTATGGTGATCCAGGTTGCAATAGGCTTTTAATAGTGGCTTTTAAAAAGTATGAAGCTGTGGGGGATCTCATATTTGTGACAGCCTAAAGATGATACTTCCTTGTGCAAATTCTTAATTAGAGAAAGAAAACTGCAATTTAGAAATACTTCTTAAGGTTTTTTTTTCCCTTGGCCTTTCAGGGAAAAAAGTGCTTTCACTTGATCTACTTGTTTTTGTTCATTTTCCTAAGGAAATTGGAATGATTTTATCTCTATCTGCCCCACAGCTCTGACTTAGAAATGTGAAGATACATTTTTTTTAAAAATCAACACACTCTGGATCACAAATGGAGAAAGTCTTCCAGGTCTTCAGTCATATATACTTCTTGTAACATAAAAGTCCTGTACCAGTATTGTGGATTTTGTAAAGATCCTCATAGCTTGTCACTGATGATAAGGCATGTTCAGCTCCGAGTGGCAATCCAAGGACATTATTGAGAAGCTGATCCATTTGTTTGTTTATATTTTAATTACATAGTTATGCAGAAGACTGTGTCTCTCAAATCTCTTTTGATCCGTGGTGACATTTGCAATCCAGCAAACAGTCTATTAAATGCACAACTTTGCTTTAGGTTTTCTCTTTCAAGTTAACTTCACTCCAGTGTCCAAAGTGAATGCCTGCTCTGCATCAGTTGCCAGTGGAGCCCCCAGTGGCACAGTGGGTTAAACCCTTGTGCTGGCGGACTGCTGACCGAATTCAGCAGTTCAAATACGGGGAGTGGGGTGAGCTCCCATCTGTCAGCTCCAGCTTCTCATGTGGGGACATGAGAGAAGCCTCCCACAGGATGGTAAAACATCTGGGCGTCCCCTGGGCAATGTCCTTACAGACAGCCAGTTCTCTCACACCAGAAGTGACTTGCAATTTCTCAAGTTACCCCTGACATGAAAAAAAAAAGTCAATTTCCAGTAGCTTTAATGGATAAGCTCTGGTAGTCACTATCTACTCCCAAGAAGTAATGCACATATCCAGTTGCTGCCCACAGCTTACGAGTGCATGGACACATTATCACATGGGCTTATTAGCTTAAATTGTATTTCGCTGCACTCCTCAGTTTGTATTTGTTTTTCTGCAGGCAAGTCTTCTGGCCTGCGAGGGACTCTCCGGGGTTTGCCTTGTGCCAACTGTTGCCAGCAAGAAGATGATGCCGAAGCAGAGCTCTAAGCAGGTGGAGAACAGAGAGAGAGGGGTTGGGCCGGGCACGCTGGTATGGGCTTGCCCAGTTTCAGCAGTCTGCTGCCCCCTGCACTCTTCTTTGTGTCCTCTTCCCGTTGTGGCTATGGGTGATGAAGCAGAGGAATCAGGAAAAGAATCTTGACATGTAGCATCCTGAATTAAATTGTGTGCCTTGTTGTGATCCATATCCTGCTTTTTCTCTTAGAGTCATCGCAAGGAAAGTGAAAAGACACGCAATCGGAAGGCAGAGGACACCACTGAAGGATCGCCACCTAAAAAGTCCCTTAAAAAGGCAGGTAATCTTACATCACACAATACAGCTAACCCTCCATGAAATGGTCTTCCTGCTTCTGCGAAGCTACCAAACATTTTTCCTGACACATTCTTTTGAAGATAGTAAGTACTTGTCAACTGGGAGTTGGCCAATCTTTAGAGCAAGAAAGCATCTTTTATGTTAAATTGCAGTATTTTAATTCATCTTTAAAATTTTATATTGTGCTTTCAGCCCCCCCCCCCCCCCCAAATATCCTGGTGTAAAAATGAAATACCTTAATGTAAAGAGGAATAAAAACAATGTATCAGTTAAATAATACATCTGTCAAATCATTATAACAGCAGCAAGTGGGGGCATAAATCTGAGTCAACTTAAAAAAATAACTCCAACTTGTGGCTTAAAGAGATGAATGCCATGCTAGAAGTGAAGTTGGAGAATTGCAGGATCAGAGTTGGAAGAGACCACAAAAGCCATCCAGCCCAAACCCCATTTTCCATGCAGGAACACACAATCAAAGCACTTCTAATACATGGCCATCCAGCCTCTGCTTTAAAACTTCCAAAGAATAAGACTCTATCACACTGTAAGGCAACATAGTTATTATTATCATTATTATATTTATGTATACTCCACTATCTCTCCCAAAGGAGTTGAAAAGCTCTTTGCTGCTTTTCTAAAGCTAAAGGCAGGGACAGTTGTATCAAAAATTGCATAACAAAGCAAGGGATGATGATGTTGGCAGTATCCAGCAGTTCATGTGCTGGTGCTGAAAAGTTCTGCTTTCATATTTCTACCATGACTCCCCATGAGCAGAGCTTTGGGTGCTTAATGCAGTGCGTGGGTACTTTCATGCTGTAGATGACTAAATCCCAGTTCATTATCTAGATCACCTGGTCACCAGGCATTTAGTTTATAATTTATACTCAGTATACACAATTTGAGTGTTCAGAATTCCAAAACCCAAAAGGTTCCAGAATTGTCAACTTGGATGGCTGAGATAGTGACCCCTATGCTTTCTGATGCTTCAGTGTACCCAAACTTTGTTTTAGGCACAAAATTATCAAAATAATATGTACAATTACCTTTGGGCTATGTGTACAAAGTGCATATGAAATATAAATGAATGCCGTGTTTAGATTTGAGTCCCATCTCCACATATCCTATTCTGTACATATATGTACATATCAGTATTCCAAAATAATCTGAAATCCAAAATTCTGGTCGCAAGCATTTTAGGTATTCAACCTGAAATTTGTATTTCAAATTATGGTTCAAAATAAATAAAAAGTGAGTGTATTTCTTTAAAAAAATTACTCCATGAAGAAGAACACCTGATATTGTTCCCACCATTATGTTTTGCTCTAGTTCATGTTCCTGAACCTTATTCAAGGGCAGGCCTCTGTCATCTTTATTTTGGATTTAATTACCTCATTACTAATAGTGTAGCTCTGGACTTCCAGCTGCAAATCCAGATCTAGCAATACAATCAAATTACACATCTGATCCACAGGTGGAGAGGAGAGGTGAATCCATCCACCGGTCAGCTTCCACAATTAATATCTCTGTCCTACCAATTAGATCCTTAACAAGAAAGCTCCTGCCTATTTAAGAATAAGAAACAAGACTTTTGCAGTGTACATGTTAACTTTAAACAAGAAGTAGTAACAAAAGAAAGCAATGCTACACTGCTCTAATTTAGCCATCATTCTTATATGTTGGGAATTGCGTGGTACTCCAGATGTCCTTGAACTCCAGCTTCCAGCATTCTTCCCCATTCCTTATGCTATCTGAGGCTGCTGGGAATTGCAGTTCAACAACATCCAGAGGGCCACTCAGTTCCTAATCTGTGATTATATGGGCCTCAAGCCTGTTTTGCATAAACTTAGTAAGTTCTCCTGTTGTACCCCGCCTTGAGCCATTGGGAGAGGCAGGTAAGAAATAGGGTGATTATTATTATTTCATACACAACAATATTAGTACACAGCAAATAAAATCACTATGCTAGCTTTCGTATTCAATCACACGTCGGACACTTCCCAAGTGTCTAGGAGTGTGTGATGTATCGGCGAATAATGCATGCAGATCTCAGTAAGGTGGCCTTCTGCAGCTGGCAGATGGTAATTTTGTCAGCGCCGATTGTTTTTAAATGCAGACCAAGGTCTTTAGGCACTGGACCAAGTGTGCTGATCACCACTGGGACCACCTTTACTGGCTTGTGCCAGAATCTTTGCAGTTTTGTCTTTAAATTCTCATATTGTGTAAGCTTTTCCAGTTGCTTCTGTCAATTCTACTGTCACCCGGGATTGCAACATCGACGATCCATATTTCGTTTTTTTCCATGATTGCGAGGTCAGAAGTATTGTGCTGACCTCCTATTACTATTATTATTATTATTATTATTATTATTGGTAACATTCTGAATTAGAGCATTTGAATTGTAACATATTCTTCATACAAATATGCCCTTATTATAAAATACATATTAACCACAGCAGGGATCTATTGGACTGTAAACCTCAGAGCAAGGAATGAGGATCATCTTTGCTGTGGTCTCTGATGAACAAATAATGATAATAATAGTAATAATTATAGTAATTTTATTTCTTACCTGCCTCTCCTCATGGGTCGAGGTGGGTTACAAAACAATTAAAATACATAAACACAGCAAAAATACTACAAATAAACACACTAAAATGCACCTCCATAAAAGTTACATAACCAAATGTAGCTTTATGAAATACATATTAAAACAGACAAATCAGAGATTAAACAAAGGACATGCATTAAAATTCAGGTTTATATTTAAAGACTGTCTGAGTAGGCCTGCCAGAAGAGACAGGTCTTCACTTGTGTCTTGAATTCCGACAGCTGATTTAGCTGTCAGAGCTCTACTGGCAGGTTGTTCCACAGCCTTGAGGCGGCCAATGAAAAGATCCTCTAGGTGGTGGTTGCCAGTCAGGTTCTGGCTGGTTGGAGCAGATGCCCCCCAGAAGACCAAAGTGTGTGGGATGGATTGCATGGGAGAAGGCAATCCTTTAGGTAACCTGGACCCAAACCTTGTAGTTCTGTGACCTACATTTAAATGGTATGTGACCTCCATTTAAAACTGCCTGTCCCATGAAACACAAGATCTCTTTACAGGTAAATCCTAGATCTGGTAGATGTCTTCAGAGCTATAAGAATATTAGAGGCTCTGTTGATTCGTTTGAAACAGATTTGCACCGCTGGAGCAACCCAAATTTAGCATGGTTGTTAGGTTTAAAGTTGTTAGAATGGTATACTTCCCTAGATTCCTGTGTGATCTTCCAAATACTGTGTTTCTGCTGCACTCCACAAGTGACTACTTGATGTTTCCAGATCATTTGATAAAAAAATTTAGCAACCCATCACATAGTGCTTCCTTCAAATCCCTCTCCAGTATCTGCTTTTGTGGAACAGGTTTTTTTCTGACTGGTCAGTAGAGCCGTTTCAGCTTTTTGAGGATCCCAAAAATCCTGGGTTCTTTGATTTATGCAGAATTTAGAACATTTTGCTTTTTTCCTGCCAAATTGAAGCATGCTGGTAGCAGAACTAGAAATATTTCAGTTCTTTTGATGCCATAATTTATTTTTTTAGCCTGACCCATGAAAATGTTTTAAGTGATGGCCTACAAATGTTTTCATCTTAGATCTAAAGAACTGGGAATGAAGCGGGGGAAGAAACAATGTACTAACCCAGGCATGGGCAGACTTCGGCCTACAGCCTGTTAGGAATTGTGGGAGTTGAAGTCCCAAACACCTGAAGGGATGAAGTATGCCCATGCCTGTTCTAACCCAAAATGCTTGCATATCTGTTATTTTTGTATCCTGCTGGTAGGGATATTCTTCCAAAAGAAATGTAGACACAGAAAAGGATATGTAGCATATTTGAAACTGGAAAGTAGCAATTTAGTAATGTAGCAAGAACGGTTGTTTACCTTGCAAGAGACAATCTAGGCCCACAAGTTTTGATATCTGTTGAATTCATCAATTTTGCCAGCATATGTGCTGTGAAATAGTGACCTGGCAACCTTGACAAACTATATCAGAATGTAAGAATTCAGGATGCTCATTCTCTAGATTCGGTCAACACCGAAATCAGATTGACTACATCCTTTGCAGCCAAAGGTGGCGGACATCCATCCAGTCGGTGAAAACAAGACCTGGGGCTGACTGTAGCTCAGATCACGAACTTCTTATTGCCCAATTTAGAATAAAACTAAAGAGATCAGGGAAAATACACAGACCAGTTAGATATGATCTCACTAACATTCCTAGCGAATATACAGTGGAAGTGAAGAACAGATTTGAAGGACTAGATTTAGTAAACAGAGTCCCAGAAGAACTATGACAGAAGTCCGAGACATTGTTCAGGAGGCGGCAACAAAGTACGTCCCAAAGAAAAAGAAAACCAAGAAGGCAAAATGGTTGTCTGCTGAGACACTGGAAGTAGCCCAAGAAAGGAGGAAAGCAAAAGGAAACGGGGATAAGGGGAGATATGCCCAGTTAAATGCGGAATTCCAGAGGTTAGCCAGAAGAGATAAGGAACTATTTTTAAATAAGCAATGCATGGAAGTGGAAGAAGACAACAGAATAGGAAGGACACGAGACCTCTTCCAGAAAATTAGAAACATTGGAGGTAAATTTCAGGCAAAAATTGGTATGATAAGAAACAAAGATGGCAGGGACCTAACAGAAGCTGAAGAGATCAAGAGAAGGTGGCGAGACTATACAGAAGATCTGTATAGGAAGGATAATAATATTGAGGATAGTTTTGATGGTGTGGTGAATGAATTAGAACCAGACATCCTGAGGAGTGAGGTTGAATGGGCCTTAAGAAGCATTGCTAACAACAAGGCAGCAGGAGACGACGGGATCCCAGCTGAACTGTTTAAAATCTTAAAAGATGATGCTGTCAAGGTGATGCATGCCATATGCCAGCAAATATGGAAAACACAAGAATGGCCATCAGACTGGAAAAAATCAACTTATATCCCCATACCAAAAAGGGAAATGCGAAAGACTGCTCAAACTTCCGTACAGTGGCCCTTATTTCTCATGCCAGTAAGGTAATGCTCAAGATCCTGCAAGGAAGACTCCAGAAATACATGGAGCGAGAGTTGCCAGATGTTCAAGCTGGGTTTAGAAAAGGTAGAGGAACGAGAGACCAAATTGCCAATATCCGCTGGATAATGGAGAAAGGCAGGGAGTTTCAGAAAAACATCTACTTCTGCTTCATTGACTATTCTAAAGCCTTTGACTGTGTGGATCATAATAAATTGTGGCAAGTTCTTGGTGGGATGGGCATACCAAGCCACCTTGTCTCTCTCCTGAGGAATCTGTATAAGGACCAAGTAGCAACAGTAAGAACTGACCATGGAACAACAGACTGGTTCAAGATTGGGAAAGGCGTACGGCAAGGCTGCATCCTCTCACCCAACCTTTTTAACTTGTATGCAGAACACATCATGCGATGTGCGGGGCTGGATGAATGCAAAGCTGGGGTGAAAATTGCTGGAAGAAACATTAACAACCTCAGATATGCAGATGACACCACTCTGATGGCCGAAAGCGAGGAGGAGATGAGGAGCCTTCTAATCAAGGTGAAAGAAGAAAGCGCAAAAGCCGGGTTGCAGCTAAACGTCAAAAAAACCAAGATTATGGCAACAAGAATGATTGACAACTGGAAAATAGAGGGAGAAACCGTGGAGGCCGAGACAGACTTTGTATTTCTAGGTGCAAAGATTACTGCAAATGCAGACTGTGGCCAGGAAATCAGAAGACGCCTACTTCTTGGGAGGAGAGCAATGTCCAATCTCGATAAAATAGTAAAGAGTAGAGACATCAGACTGGCAACAAAGATCCGCCTAGTCAAAGCCATGGTATTCCCTGCAGTAACCTACGGATGTGAGAGCTGGACCTTAGGGAAGGCTGAGCGAAGGAAGATCGATGCTTTTGAGCTGTGGTGTTGGAGGAAAGTTCTGAGAGTGCCTTGGACTGCGAGAAGATCCAACCAGTCCATCCTCCAGGAAATAAAGCCCGACTGCTCACTGGAGGGAAAGATACTAGAGACAAAGTTGAAGTACTTTGGCCACATCATGAGGAGACAGGAAAGCCTAGAGAAGACAATTATGCTGGGGAAAGTGGAAGGCAAAAGGAAGAGGAGCCGACCAAGGGCAAGATGGATGGATGGCATCCTTGAAGTGACTGGACTGACCTTGAAGGAGCTGGGGGTGGTAACGGCCGACAGGGAGCTCTGGCGTGGGCTGGTCCATGAGGTCACGAAGAGTCGGAGACGACTGAACGAATGAACAACAACAACATTCTCTAGATTCTGGTCTATCAGAATGAAACAGAAACGTGTGTCTTTCCTTAAATAAAGTTGGATCCTTGATTCACTAGATCTGATCTTCTAATTTCTCTTACACTTATAGGGGAAAGAAAGTCCCCTTCAGAACAGAGTGAGCAGAGTCATGAACTTTTTTCCAAGTATGAAATTCCTTATTGTCTGGCACTGTAGTGTATAATGGATTACATTGCTATACAAGTCATGTAATAAATCAGGATTATCCAGTCATATACATTCTCATGGGACATAATAAAACTCAGTGCAACGTCTTGTACAATATCTTGTACTCTTACAATGGGCAGCTAGCAACCTTTCTTATGCACCAATAGTGAGCTGCAATAGGTGAAGGAGAAGAAACTTCCTCTGTTGGGTGAAAACATTTGGTGCCAGGCAATACTGCATGGTTCAACAAACCCATCTTTTAGGAATAGCAAACCACATGGTATGTGTTAGCCAAGAAGACAGTAGTAACAGTATTAACAGTGTACATCTCAATTCCAGGTGGTGGTGATTGAGCAAAATGGATCCTTCCAACTCCGAGATCCCAAGAACTTTATTTGTGAGCATTGCCTTGGGGCATTCCGAAGCAGCTACCACCTCAAAAGGCACATTCTCATCCATACTGGTAAGAGAACAGGGCGCAGATTGGCAGCCAGATTCCCCTTCAGATAGTAGTAACTGGGCACTTTCTGGGGGGGGGGGGGGGGGCAAAAGTGTTTGGATCTTACATTACGACTGCTTCTCAAAAACCATAAAATTTAAATGTTTGCTTTAAGAAGCTGTCAATCAGCAATAAAGAATCTGGGTATAAATTTCTAGATAGTGCAGAAGCCTGAAAGCATACTCACTGCAGAAGAAAATTTGATAAAACTGTGGCTGACATTCTGAGAAGGATATGTATACATGTACGCTTCTCCTGCATCTGTGTATGGCATTTTCTGTTTGTGGTACGAGTTATTCCCTGCCTCCCTTCATGGCACACTTTCTAGATAAGAGTATAATCTCACTCTCTTCCCCCTCACTGTGACTATTCTGTTCTTTTTGGGGAACAGGCAGTTCAGATAAGTCTCTGGCTATGTCCCTGAAGTTAGACATTAAGTATTTACATCATCACTGCATATCTCAATTGTGCTGTAATAATTTTATGTCTGGCTACAGGATTTTTATTTATTTATTGTGTCAGGGGCAGACCAAACAGTTGCATTGCATTTTTAAACAAATAAACAAACAAAACACAAAGTTTGCAAGCTTGGTAGTTGATTAAATGTCCTTTGACCAGTTCCTGGTTACTTGGAGTGCCTCTGGTGTTGCCTCAAGGAGGTCCTCCATTGTGCATGTGGCAGGGCTCAGGTTGCATTGCAGCAGGTGGTCTGTAATTTGCTCTTCTCCACACTCGCATGTCGTGGATTCCACTTTGTAGCCCCATTTCTTAAGGTTGGCTCTGCATCTCGTGGTGCTAGAGCACAGTCTGTTCAGCGCCTTCCAAGTCACCCAGTTTTCTGTATGCCCAGGGGGGAGTCTCTCAATTGGTATCAGCCATTGATTGAGGTTCTGGGTTTGAGCCTTCCACTTTTGGACTCTCGCTTGCTGAGGTGTTCCAGCGAGTGTCTCTGTAGATCTTAGAAAACTGTTTCTTGTTTTAAGTCATTGATGTGCTGGCTGATATCCAAACGGGATGAGCTGGAGATGGCACTGCCTTGGCTACAGGATTGTAACCAGACACTTTGCTCATCCTTCCCACTCCCATGAGATGAGGAATGGCAAATGTGGAGGACTTTCATAGACTGTAGAGTAAAGTAGGATGGTAGTGGTTTTGTAGGCCTGCATGTAAAACCATTACACTATGTGTTTTTTTGGGGGAGGGGGTTGTCGTGTCAAGAGTGACTTGAGAAACTGCAAGTTGCTTCTGGTGTGAGAGAATTGGCCGTCTGCAAGGACGTTACCCAGGGGATGCCTGGATGTTTTTGATGTTTTATCATCCTTGTGGGAGGCATCTCTCATGTTCCCGCATGAGGAGCTAGAGCTGATAGAAGGAGCTCATCCGCGCTCTCCCCGGATTAGAACCTGCAACCTGTCGGTCTTCAGTCCTGCCAGCACAGGGGTTTAACCCACTGCACAACCGGGGGCTCCTATTACACTATGTTGAGCAGTGCTAAATTGCAGCCCATATATAATGTGATGCTCATAAGCTAAAATATGATGCTTTGCTTTACCTTGCAAGTGGCAAAGCCCAGCTGTCTGCAAAGTAGAAGTGAAGGAGTTGTTAGGCAAGGCCTGTTTTCCTGTAAAGATTAATCTAAGATGCCTATGCAGCATATGTTTCCAGAGGCTCACTTCCAGGAAAAGGCTCTGGACGCACAAGTTATTTCTATTTCCACTTGAGGAAATATAACTTTAAATAATCGTCCATATCATTTGCCATGTCTTTGTTCTACCACTAGAGGGCTTCTCTTCCTTTCAAATACGTCCAGCAGAAGTCTAGGACTTCACTAGTTTTTTCTTAAACTATTTTTTTTATTAAACACTCCAAAAAAGAATATTATTTACGTAAAAAGAGGTGGAATAACATGGTAAAAGGAAAAGTAGGAAAAGTAAGTGTATAGAACAGGGGTCCTCAAACTAAGGCCCGGGGGCCGGATGCAGCCCTCCAAGGTCATTTACCCGACCCTCGCTCAGGGTCAACCTAAGTCTGAAACGACTTGAAAGCACACAACAATAACAACAATCCTATCTCATCAGCCAAAAGTAGGCCCGCACTTCCCATTAAAATACAAATAAGTTTATATTTGTTAAAATTGTTCTTCATTTTAATTATTGTATTGTTTTTAAGTGTTTTTTGCACTACAAATAAGATACGTGCAGTGTGCATAGGAATTCATTCATATATTTTTTTCAAATTATAATCCAGCCCTCCAACAATTTGAGGGACTGTGACCTGGCCCTCTGTTTAAAATGTTTGAAGACCCCTGTTATAGAATATACATGGAAAGAGGTAGTACAATATGGTAAAAAAAGAAAGTAGAAAATATATGTGTATAGATCTTTCCAACACTACTACTACTACTGTCCAGAATGAGAAAAAAAAAGATAAAAAAAGATAAAAAAGGTCTCTTTGAACTTCCATTCTAAACCTTCTCTAGTTTTTAATGAAATTTTCAAGGAAAACAGATCACATGTGTCAGTGAAAAACAATTCCTTTTCAACTATTTATTCTGATTAGTCATTTGAGGTTGGAGCACAGGGTTGCTCACTCCTACCATAAGCAGTTTCTCATATAAGCACCTTCATGGTTTTTAAAATCACTCTTATACACAGCTGAATATAATCCCACATTATCTGCTTTGAACTGGGATATATGGCAGTGTGGACTCAGATAATCCAGTTCAAAGCAGATATTGTGGGGTTTTCTGGCTTGATATTCTGGGTTATATGGGTGTGTGGAACGCTCCTCCGTTTGGCAAATCTGTACCGGTTAATATTTGGATAGGGGGCTGCTAACAAATACCAGGTGTTACAGGCTACATTTCAGCAGCAGGAACTGTCAAAACTATCTTTGAGGATTTCTTGACTAAGAAAGCCCTATCATTCATGGGCTTATCATAAGTTGACAGACATTTTTAAGGCATATAACTTTTTTTTAATAGTTTTTATTGAAGTTATATAAGGTTACAAGGAAAGAGGGGGAATATCTGAAAGGAGATAGGAAAGTAGGAATAATAGGCATATAACTTCCCTCCCCAACACACACGCTCTCTCTCTCTCTCTCTCTGTCACACACACACACACACACACACACGGGTATCATTTAATCATTGTGATAGATAGCCCAGTCTCTGGCTGAGATAAGGTTTTGGTCACATCTATATCTGAAATCTCAGTCTTAGAAAAACAGGATGAGGAAAGCAATTTGAAAAACAAAAGTTTTGTTACTTTCTTCTGATGATCTTACTGTTAGCTTTAAACTGCCAAGGGTACGACACCAATAATCATCGGTGAAGTTGTAGAAACATGAAGCTCTTTTCCACTCTCAAAGCGCTTGTTTCTCCCCTCTTGCAGGTGAAAAGCCATTTGAGTGTGATGTGTGTGACATGCGCTTCATCCAGAAATACCATCTGGAGCGTCACAAACGTGTGCACAGTGGGGAGAAGCCGTACCAGTGTGAGCGCTGCCTGCAGGTAATGCCTCTGCCACTTTGTTTTTGCCTATAGCATTGGCTGAGAAGAGAGGCTATGGTGTGTGCTTCTTCTGAGAGGTCTTTGCTCTCATTGACATTCTATTTAGATTGGATGCAGAAGAATCTCTACATCCTCCAGTGTGACTTCTGTGGTCATTGTACATCAGAAATTGACTGTTGCACTCTGGCCTGGATTCACCTTTTCACCACACAAGAGTCCAGTATTACTAACTAAACCTTTTATTGAAGTAAACAATTATAAAAAGTCAAAAAGTAATCTAAAAAGCAATGTCCTAAAAAGCCACAGAGAAAAAAGGCTAATAAAAGGTAATAGTCCATACTCAGAGTTCACCAGAGTTCTGTTCAAAAGTAACAAGGTATGTGGAAAAACAGGAATCAAAACATCAGCATAAATCCATAACCAGGAACACAGGAACTTCTTTCAAAACTTAAAAGTCATGAATCTGAAAGTCATGGTCTTGAGTTAATCAGCTAATTCTGTGGCTTCAGTTTTTTTTATCTCAGATGCAATGATTCTTCATTGTTAAGAAAAAACAAGGCATGCTTGAGCATTATTTCTATATTATTATTATTATTATTATTATTATTATTATTTACTTTATTTGTACCCCGCTAGCATCTCCCGAAGGACTCGATGCGGCTTACATAGGCCAAGGCCTCAAAACACAATACAACAATACAATACCTATAGCAAATTAAAAACAGTTAAGCAGTATGAACAACAAACAATAAACAAAATATCAAGACACTATAAAACTGGGCCGGGCCAGAGTAGTGGGTACAAGATTAAAAGTGCTGATGTGGCAGGAGGTATGTAGGATTGTAAGTAAGTGCAGTGTGCCGTGTGCAGCAATCTTAGTTCTACTAAAGTGCTTCTAGGACTTGGTATTGGAGATTCCAATACCAAGGATAATGCAGATCTTTAGATTTCCTTTTGATTCTGGGCAGGTTCTCTTGTCCTGCTCACTTCCGAGAGTCACGCTTAAGAGATTTCACTCCTCTTTTCTATTGTTTCAGAGCTTCTCAAGGACAGACCGGTTGCTGAGACATAAACGAATGTGCCAGGGCTGCCCAGGCAAAGAATCTGACTCACAGCTGCTGCTTTAGGTGCAGGCTGGAAAAGAGGATTCAGCTGGAAAGTCAAGAGGATTCTTTGTGGGTCTTTTTCTTCACTTATTTTTCATACTGTGTTTTCCTTCTGAGCCTGTTGTGGAAGAGGCAGGTCTGAGCAGGGCACAGACTTTCAGACAAAGTCTTGACACTGTAAATACATTGAAGACAAACAGAAGTTGACTGCCAGCCTGGAGACATCCCTTGCAGTTGTGAATATACTTTGGATGTGCTTTAAAAACATTTATCACCATTTGCCTCAGGAATGGCTTTGAGAAGAACAGTTGGACCTCCTACGAGTCCTGTGAGTGATATTGATGCTCTTGGTTGACCAGATACCTGCCATCGTGCCCGTACATTGTGCTCACAAAGATGAAAAGAATCACACACCAAATTGTTTTGAAGGGCTGAAGCCTGGGAACAATGGATATAAAATAAGATCACCAACAGATTTTTGAATCCAGGACTCACAGGAGTGTCTCATTTGAGTTTTGCCATAAAATATACAGAACTTTATGCCCTCCTCATGCAGTATCTGGGCCTGTATTCTTTTCATGACCTTCAAGTTTTAAGAAGCAAAGCTGAAGCAGATGGCATATGCTCTTGAGTACCGCAGAAGTCCAATTTTCAGATGTTATTATGGGAAAAATCCAAGAAGAAATGCTAAATGAGATCCAGCTGGCTGGAGGTACACATCTGGCTATTTCCAGTGAGAAGAAACTTTGAGACCTTTGATAGGAAGCGTGGTTCCTATCTTCCTCCCCTTCTCTATGAAGATCCATGCATTCAGGCTCCACCCCATTAAATGTCCGATTAATGCAGAATTCACAATATCGTCAGAGGAGAATATCCTTCTGCTCCATAAATAAATCAGCCAACTGAAATCCAGAATTACCAACCTCAAAGAAGTATTCTTCTAGAGCAAGGAATGATAATGTTGGAGTCCAACTCTTTCCCTCCAAAATTAACTGTCCTGGCTGGGGCTGGACTACACATCCTCCCACCCATGTTAACTATAAACTTCAGAACTAGATGTTTTGAAACCAAGATCCATCCAGCCATGTTCTTCACTCCATTGAATCAGTTTTGTTGCCTTTGGCCAAACAGAAATCCTACCTCTTTCCTAGGAAAGGCATATTTTCTGAGAAGCAGATGTCTCAAGATACTCTCGGCTGCTGTCAGAAGTGAAAGCTGTTTCCAAAAGATTTGGACTGATTTAATACTTAACATTTCTGGCCAGTACGGTTGTACCATTAGAACAATCTTAGTATTCTATCAATTCTGCCATTGAAACATCTTATGAACGGACACTTCCAGTTGAGGTAACTTCTCTGTCATTTTTGCTACAAAACAGAGTTTGCCCTCTCTTCCTCTCCTGTCCTTGGAACTGGCTTCTCTCAGGCCTTTGTTGGCTCCCGATTCCCTCCCATCCGTCAATGCAAGCAAGGCTTTGGGACTTAGATCAACAGAGGATAGGTTTTCACCAATATGTGTTGCTGAAAGTGCGATTGCTGCTGAAGGATTCCAATATCACCTGTGCTACTGAAAAGGTTTGTAAATAGAGAAGCAGGACATTAAAGATCAAGGAGGTTTCTTCCAAAGGTACAGTCATGCAAGAGAATTAAGTGTACTAGCAATAGGTGCTGTACTGTAGGATAAGCTGAAAGAACTGCACTTCTAAACTTGGAGAGAATATTCTTTTCGTTATATCCTTTGTACTTTTCCAAACTGCTGTTTCCCAGGCAAATTTCTTTGGTAGACTCCCTTACTCTCACATAGTCAAGCTAAATTTTAGTTGGACCATATGGGGAAAAAATCTGTTTCACATTTCTATTTATTCTGTTTAATCTGCTGTTACATGAGATTCCTGGTGCTTTCCCATCCACAGTGCTTAGCTTCATTGACTTGCTCAGGTACTCCCGTATTATTTACGCAGGTCTCAGAATTTGCATATTATTAAATCTCTGGTAGGAAAAATAATCAACTAGTGGCATAGAGAGAACAATTAGGAATAAAGAGTGTGTTTCTGTCACCATTTGTGTACCTGTAGAGTAACCCATGAGTTTAACCCATCCCGCTGCAAAGTCTGCTATATCTTAAAGCTAAGGTATGCTAATGTTTAAGCCTTAATGGCTACTTTCCCCTATTATGTGTTTAAACAGACATGGATGAGAAATTGTATTGAAAGAGGCCCTGTTCTTTCACTCTCTAATACACATTTTAGTAACTAAATGAAAAATACGGGGGCTGTTTTAGCTGAAGTTAGTAATGTCATCTATTGCTCAATAATTCCTAATGGCTTAGGATAATCCTTGAGAATTTCAATAGGGAGAGGAAAGGCTATACCAAATGGCCATTCTTTTTAAAAGAAAGCAAACAGACAAAAAACTCAAGCAATTGTGTAGCTTTCTTCCACATTTCTGTGAACTGAGTACTCCAAAAGGGAAAAAAAGGAATTATAATATGTATTTGAAACTAGGGAGTAAGGAAGGACATATAGTGGGAATCTGTTTTGTTCTGCATGTGCAAAATTGAGGGAAATCATGCAAGAAAAGATTTCTGTCAATGAGGCATTTTTATCCATTTCTGGATAGCCATCTCACCTTCATCGATAGTACTAGATCAGTGGTTCTCAACCTGTGGGTCACCAGGTGTTTTGGACTACAACTCCCAGAAATCCAGCTAGTTTACCAGCTGTTAGGATTTCTGGGAGTTGAAGGTCAAAACATCTGGGGTTCCACAGGTTGAGAACCACTGTACTAGAGGCATAAAATTACAAAACATATTCTCTTTTGCTAGTTCATTCCCAGCTGACAGGTTGACTGTTCAGATCCCCTAAGTAAAGTGTCCCATGCTGCCAGATCCATTTTGTGCCAACTTTTGTGTATTTGTGTGATCCTGGCTAAACTTTTACTAAAGCATGTGTGACTTTTATAGCACAAGGATGAGGGCTTTTGAAGACTACCTGCAAGGAAGTTGGTTGTAGAAAAAGGAGATGTGTGGAATGAGGAATATTTGGTCTGCTCTTAACATTTGGCCAGTGTAATCATTTGATAGCCTTCAGTCTGGTTTTTCACTGAACACACTAGCAAAGGAAAACAGTTCATGGTAATAAATGGTAGAATGCTAGCATTGCTCTGTAAACTGTGCTTCCTAGGTGAAGTAGGTCTAACCTCAGACAGTGACTTGTGCTCCATCTTTGCTGTTGAGGTTTTTCTCAGAAAGGAGTGGGTACTGGGTAGTAGAGAAAATGTGGCTGGCTGTGTGGGGAGAAAGTGGATTCCTGTGTTTCCATTACATAAATCTTTTTTCATCATTTGCCATTCAGCCACCTTTGATTTCATCTTCTACCACAAGTTATCATGCCTGCCTGTTTGAGCTGTGATTCATCTTTACTCTGAAGAAATTGTTTGCAAGGCAGGACTGCTTCACCCTGTTAATATATCTCATGTTCCTCAAGTAAAGAGGTGCACTAAGGAAAAGTTGCAGAGCTTTCAGGAAAATGATGCTTTGAGAAAGAACTTAAAAATGGATCTTATTTGTATGTTTAAGGGACTTCAAGCCATAGTTTCTAATAGTTACTCCAAAGTGGAGTAAATAAGTAGAATGACATGGCGAAGCCTCCTCCTCCCCCCCCCCCTTTTTCAGGTTGTACTTCTGCATACAGAAAATTGACATGTCACAGAATTGTATAGAGATCAATGTCTCCAGTCTCCAGCATGCTAGTATTCTGTGAGTAAGAAATTTTGCTTTCTTCACATGTGTGACTTTCTCTACTCAGTCTCTGGCTGAAATGGAATTGTGAATGCAGCCATTGAATCTTCTCACAGTTGAGTTTTAAACAATACATCCTAAATCTGTTGTGAGGCCTAAGTTAAAAGTAGAACAATTTGATCAGTGGAATTTTCTTATTTAATCGATCTACTTTGTTTAGACTAGGGGTCCTCAAACTTTTTAAACAGAGGGCCAGGTCACAGTCCCTCAAACTGTTGGAGGGCCGGATTATAATTTGAAAAAAATATGAGTGAATTCCTATGCACACTGCACATATCTTATTTGTAGTGCAAAAAATGCTTAAAAACAATAGAATAATTAAAATGAAGAACAATTTTAACAAATATAAACTTATTAATATTTCAGTGGAAAGTGTGGGCCTACTTTTGGCTGATGAGATAGAATTCTTCTTCTTGTGTGCTTTCAAGTCGTTTCAGACTTAGGTTGACCCTGAGCGAGGGCCGGGTAAATGACCTTGGAGGGCCGCATTCAGCCCCCGGGCCTTAATTTAAGGACCCCTGGTTTAGACTGTCTAATGGAATGCTAACCCACTCATCTTGTTCTTCAAAGTCATCATTAAATGACAAAACTCCCATCAAGTGAGTTGATTGCAGCTCCAAGAAAGAGATGTTTTGTTTGGAAATGGTTCACAGAGAAATGGGTGTCTTCATAAAAGGCTCCTGTAAGTCTTAGTGGTGTAATTGATTAGGAACAAAGTTGAAATTTACAGAATTTCACTATTTTTACACTGGATGAGGCCAAAGAACCACAGTTGTTTCAAAATGAATCTTGTTCACTCAGATCATGGCATGGAGAAGACATGATTTCAAAAGAAAGCTGTATCATGATGCAATTTGAGAAAAATGACATTAGGAAATCACAGTTTAAACCAGGAATTACTCTTGTTTTTAAATGTTCTTGATGGTAATGTTTCAATGTCACATAGATGTCATTTTCGCCAAAAGCTAACTAAGATGGTTCAATTCTTGGTAGCAAATAGTTTGAAATTTGGGTTCTACATAAGCGATGACATTGGTTCCTCTGGCTTGTACACACAAGCTCATACACAGGCCTTGCGTTTACTAATGCATTACTCTCCTCTCTTGGTTGTTGAGTCAAAAGTAGGTGCTCTGAAAGCATGTGCCATGTTGTGGTTAAAGTATCAGACTTTCTCCAGGTCAATGAATGACCAGTTATGTTTATATGTGGGTTTTTAGGAGCAGCTGTATTTGTTCCTTCCCTCTTAATTTTGAAGCTTTCCCCCATGAAATATGGTGGCCATGAGCCATCTGTCAGCCAGTATGGCTTGGGTATTGTTGAAACTCCTGCTCTTTTGATGGCTTGTATTAGAGATTCATGTGTCAACTGTACCATATTAATTTTCCATATGTGTGACAGGCTGCCTTAAGCTGCTGGAGATAACAGTGGTTTTGACTCAGATGTTTGACTGAGATGAGAAAATTAAGAAGATCCTTTTTGTGCAGTTAGTACTGGCTTTCATAGACTCCTTGCATTTATGGGACAATTCTAGCACTTACAGCTGAACAGAGAATCTTATCAATTTCCCTGTTTTCTTTAGTATTAAGGTCAAATGGATTTTTTCTTGTAATGAAATGTTTTTCTTCCTCACTCTTCTCATTAATTCACATATTTTGTTATGGAGGAGGGAACTGGGACAGGGCTGTGTTACCCAAGTGCAGGATCACTTTTAAACTGTAGTTTTTATAAGATGTTATAAACATGTATCTTTTTACCATTACAGTGTGGTGTCTATTCATTTGTGTGCTCTTTTTCGGGTATGGAAATAAAACATGCTTTCTTTTCCTCTGCCACCTACTCCTCAGCTTCATTGCTTCTCATCTCATATTGGGTGGAGATTTGATTATTATACACTTGATTTAAAAAGCAAATCAACAAAGTCATGTCCTTGGGAATTGTTGTGGTAGTGGTCATAAGGATCTGGTTTTTGTTGCTACTATCATGTCATTCAACACTTTCTGGATTCATTCCTTTACTTTCCCCATTCTTACCAAGCAGCTTTACAAGTCATTCCGAAGGAAAAAAGGAAAGCACTATACCTGAGAATAATGGTACAGGGATGATCAGTCTCTCACTAAGAATAGGTGTCCTTTTATGAATAAAAAAAGTTCATAGTTAGTATAGACTAACTATACAAGTAGTGGTTCTTAATCTGTGGGTCCCCAGATATTTTGGCTTTCAACTCCCAGAAATCCTAACAGCTGGTAAACAGGCTGGGATTTCTGGGAGTTGTAGGCCAAAACACCTGGGGACCCACAGGTTGAGAACCACTGGTCTAGACAAAGTAGAATATTTTTTTAAAACAAAATTCACATTAAAACCAATCATAATCTTGGATGATGTCATCTCAAAAATATCTTAACATTTGGGAAAAGTCTTCCCTGTGGAAAATATTTAGTCTTCTTTTTTGTGTTTTATATTAATCCTGTACCCACGGTAACTACTAGGAGCATCATTGAGAATATTTGGGAGACCTGTGTGATCCCAGAAGGATGTTGTGGTTGGAAAAAGTATTCCAGGCTTGATCAGCCTGGAACAGATCTGCCTCATTGGTTCTTCCAGTAAAGCTCAGCCCACATAGCCTGGAGCACACAAATCGACCACAAGACTCTACAGAAGTGGAGTTAGCCTGTTCCTCTGAAATCTGAAAGTTTCATTAGTCTGCCTCTCTTCCAGTCAGTCTTTGCACAACACGGCTGTCATTCAAACTCCATTTATGGGAGTTGCATCCTCTTAAATGGACTTATGTCTGTGGAAATTAGAATTGTGACGATACACAGTGTCAATATCTAATAACTACGTAGATCCATCAACGGGACTGATGCACAATAGGATCAGTGCACAATAGGCTCAATGTACAACACTCTTGCTAGTTTCAATTTCACATCTTCATAAAGAAGTAATTGTTTATTATCACCTCTGCTATGATGTATATGCAAATTTATGTTGAGTGCAAGGTCATCTAGGATTCCACTTTTTTCCTGATCTGTGCCATGTAATTAGAGGAGGGGAAGGAAGGAATGGGGTTGGAAAATCCAAATGCTACATAGTGCCAAGAAGAACTTTTATTTGCTTACCAATTTGTCATGAGATTCCCATTGGGTGCTGAAGTATGATGATTCAAAATTAAACACAAATGGTTTGTTTTATCAAGTAAGGAATGAGGGCTTGCCTAAGGTACACAGCTGAAGAGGGATGCACACACAGATCTCTCTGGTCCAGCAGGGTATACAACAGCTACCTTCTCTCCATCTTCAGTGCATTGTTTGAACACCCCACTGTATAGCTGAAAAGACCCCAGAGCCTCTTATATGTCACTAACAATGGAACAGCCTCTGTTCCCAGGCATACACTTGAGAAGACTTGACAGGAAAGGAGATGGGAAGAAAAGGAGGGAAAACAAAAAAAAAATATATGGTAAGTTCTTAAATGACAAGGTGTCTTAGCTTGCCAGAATGACCCTTGGGTGACAGCTGGAAAGAAGCAAAGCCTGATGGAGCTGGCTTGCTTGAAGGGGTGAGGCTGGTCCCATTTTCCTCCTTGAACTTTTAATTGTTGTACCTGGGGTTCATGACTGTGGTGGTTGCACTACGGAACAATGGGTTGTTCATCTACGAAAAGAAGTTCGGAAAAGTTAGTCGTGTTTGGAGGTGTTCATGCATTGGTCTCAAGTACAGTAATCTCACTGAATCAGTTGGGATTTGCTCATGTCTTGACACAAACACAGAATCCTACAGGAGCTAAGTTGCTATGCCATCACAACTTTTTTTGGCCACTGTTCACTACTGATTCTTCAGCAGCCAAAATTTTCCTCAGAGGCCCACATTTTCTCAACGGTGGCCCCCAAACTTGGCCATATCATGGTCGGTGGAGAGCAGTAGACAAGCATCCAGTTATTTTCATATAGCTGGGGTGCAGCAATGATAATATCTGCAAGGACTTGCTGAAGACCCCTGGAGGTACTTGCATATTTCTGCCATGTTGCTTTTAGCTATGGGGAAACAACTGGATGCTTCTCTTCTTCTCCATCTCACAGGGGTTGCATCTCAAAAAAAAGTGGATATGTATTATAAACCATTATAATTCTGTCTTTTAGTTACATGTTCTCATGCCACAATTTTATTTACCTCAAAATATCATAAGGTTCTCTGTAAACCAAAAATGTCTGACCTCAGGGAAACAAATAAATAATACGAATAGCACTTTTCCGGAGCTTAACAAATTGCATAAGGAGTATCCATAATTTTGCAGTACACTTAATTTAATGGCTTTGAAATGCATTATGGTTCACTATGTGACCCTGGTTTGTGTGAGCAAGTATATCTATCTATTTATTAATTTATTATGCACATTTGTATCCTGTCCTACAACCCCCCCCCCCCCCCCCCCCGGGGAGGGGGCGACTCATGGTGGCTTCACAACAGATATTCCTTCAATGTCAACAACAATAATGAATTATAATTACTTTTAAAACAATTCATTAATACATTGAACAATTAAAATTACTAAAATATTCATTTAAAAGCTAATTGAAGGAGAATAAGTGGGTACCTATTGCAGTTCCACTAATTAATACATACTAAACCTTTAAAAGGGTGGTGCTCTACCAAATGAATATTTAAACTAAAGGTGGCCTCAGGTTTGAAAAAAGGTTGAAGATTACTGCTTTGAGAAGCTTGGGTTAGAACTATGGGTAAAGAGTCAAATTTGGGAGAGGAAGGGGGTTTATTGGAGACAAGTAGTATGTAAAATATAGCATTCTGTGCACAGCTTCTGCTTTTCCAAGCATGTAGACTAGCAGTCCTCAAATTGTGGGTCGCAACCCCTTTGGGGGTCAAATGACCCGTTCTCAGAGGTTGCCTAAGTTTATTGGAAAACACATATTTCTGATGGTCTTAGGAACCGAGACACCACGATTTCCCACCCCTTCACTTCTCAAAAGCCTCTTCTCCGGAGGGAGGTGGTGATGTCACTCAGCCCCCCCCCCCAATCATTTTAGGAGGAAGAGATGGGAGCGATGGAGGTGTGGTTTGCTTTGGAGCCAAGAGGGAAGAGGAAGGAAGTAGAGGAGGGGGAGAAGGGAGAAGGTGAGGGAGGGGACCTAGGAGGGGGGGCCTGGGAGGGGAGGGCAAGGCTTAGAAAGGGGTGAAGTGGCCCCTCCATGGCTGAATCCCAGGAAGGATAAGTAATAATGAAAATACACCCTGCATATCGGATATTTATATTACAATTCATAACAGTAGCAAAATTACAGTTATGAAGTAGCAACAAAAATAATTTTATGGTTGGAGGTCACCACAACATGAGGAACTGTATTAAAGGGTCGCAGCATTAGGAAGGCTGAGAACCACTGATGTAGACTTCTGTTTTCTAGACTTCACCACCAGTGTTATGTTCTACTCTCAAACAGGTACTAAAGAAAGAGCAAAGGATTAAACCTTTGGATTTGAATTTGTTAATTTTAAATGGAAGTTTATAATTGATGTTTTTAACTAATGTTTTTATTGTGATTTTATTACTATTGTTTGTGTGGCATCTTATGGTTGCCGGTTGTGAGCTACCCTGAGTCCCCGGGATATAAATGTCTGAAATAAGAAATAATAAATAAATACCATGAATCAGCAGGCCAGTTGAACACAGCTGCCTCCTGCGTAGATAAGGAACAGATAGTGCAGAACCCAGCCTTCTCTGTGGCTGCTCCCAGACTGGAATTTCCTCTGTAGGAGGCTAGGCAGTTTCTGCTTTCTTTTGTAACAGATATTAAATAACTGGTTGCAGAAAATCTATATTTATGGGGTGGGTTGCATTTTTAAACAATTTTACATTTAAAAAAACATTATAGTGTTTTAATGTGATAACTTACTCAATTGTGTGTTAACCTTTTATTATCAGGTTTTAGCTTTATCTTGCTTTTAGTCTTTGCCATAAGCCGCCTTGAGCTAAGAGAACAGCATCATATAAATCAAATCAAATGAGCATTTGTGGAGTTTGCTTGGCCAACGAAGAGGCGAACGGAGAAACTGGGAGCACTGACCTCGTTCCACTTGGCACTTTGGCACTCCTTTTCAAAGCGGTTGAATTCTCTGCGGTCATAGACATCCACAACAAGGCGGTATCCCACAATGATGCACAGCCCCAGAATCACAAACCCCAGAACCAGGCCTAGCGCCACCTGGAATGTCTTCTTAGTAGTCTCTGAAAAGGTGAAAAAAAAAAGATGAAGGAAACCTCTGGCTAATAACCAACTTTTCCAGTAGATGCTTCATTTTTTCTTTTTCACTCGGTTCTTTTTTTATGACACCCAATCTCTCTCTAAACATTCTCATGATGCCTGCTACATGTTAACCATACCTGCACATCTTCCTTATGTTAGGACTTTACAGCTGATCTTGATACAATGAAGGAATACATCACTATAAGACTTCCCTTTCAACTCTTTGTCCAATAGTCCTCCCTTGCTCCATTCAGGATTTTAAATATCTTAATTGCAGCTTCAATGTGTCTACATTTGGAAGACATGTACCTGTGCGAGAAGACCCTGGGCATATGCCTAAGCCAGTTGATTGGTCTTTAGATTGAAAAAAGGGTCTCCTCACCCAGAGGATGGGGAAAAGGACATCAAACGGTGTCTTCTGCCAGCTCAGAGATGGTCAGGTGGGCATTGAAATGACCTCGAAGCATTCAGGGGGCTGTTTCTCCTTATCTATCTATCTTAAA